CTCGGCACACATCGACAGTACAGCAACGCCTTGAAAAGAATCCAATCCTCACTACTTTGTACAATATGCCTTGACTTTCAGTCAAATGCTCATATTTTGAAAGCGTTGTGGTTCCTAAACTTCTTTGTCACTGATTGGAATCATTGGCTAAGCCATTGCCGGAGCATGAGCCCACTAAGAATTGATTTTAGCCCAGACCCATATCTTTTCCACACAACCAATCAAAGTGTACGAGTACGGTAGAAGGTACGGTCTGGGCTGAATTTGGAGTTGAAATCCTTGCCTACGAAGAAATCATACGGGCTGCTCTTGGGCAACGACATAGTCTCCAGCTTCCATTACTAAAAATCACAGGTGCCCAGGTATCGCAACGTACTATATTCTGATTTTCCAAGCATCTTTGATTTGCGTGATTATTTATTTTTGTACACTCGCTTATTCTAAGTAAGAAACTTATGCATAAACGCTCGGTTGAAAGTCCTAACAAATCGTAAATATTCTCAAGCCACTGAGAGGAACTATTGTTCAAAAGCCTTTGTTTCTATTGAGGAAATTGTTTATAAACTACTTACCGAACGTGACGAAAACGAAGATGTAGATCAGGGTAAGCACATGGTTCAGATCGCTTGGCATTTCACTCATAGTAAGATTAGCAACCAAGTTAAAAGTGACAAAGAATGCTTCCAGGAACGTTGCTTTACCACCTAAAGAAGATAAATTTTATCTGGGATTTGACATCTTTAGTTTTCGAATTTTTTAAATTTACCTGCAGCGATATATGTCACTCCACCCATCATACAGAATACTAAAAGAATGCTTGCATTTATGCTAAGCGGCAAACGCTTGGCATTTGGTGGTTTCTCTTCTATTGACTCTTCCTCTGCACCTTCAACTCTGTCTTCCATTTCGTGTTCTTCCACTGATGGAGGTTTCGACCTTTGCCGACTTGAGAAAATAATAAAATCATCAGATGTTTACAAACTTGAGTCTGCGTTGACTCACGACTTCTTCTTCTTCAGTACCGTAGCCGTTCTGGCGGAAATCTTAGTGCGACATTTTAGTGATGAAAGCATGGCTTGATACTGTATAATTTTGATTGTCATTCCTAGTATTTTGTTGAAACTTGTTTTTTGTTACCCCACTTTGGAGTACAGTTCAAGCACAATGTGAGAAAGGAATCGCCCAATGTCCACTGCAGCCAACACCATTATAGGAATTCCTATCAATCCGTAGATGATAGCGAGAAGTTGGCCGAATGGAGTGACAGGTACCGCGTAAGCATAGCCGGTGGTTGTCTGAAGAAAAATATATCTTTGTGAATTCTGCGTTTCACCTGAGAAGCTTCTATTCAGTGTTTGAGCCAGCACTTCTTTGGAGTTAGCTTCTACATTTGAATTGCTGAGAAAGCATGTTTTTGGATTTCGCTCGAAAATTATTGAGACCTAGATCCACCAAATGGTCGACCTTTCCATTCTAATGAGGGGCCATTTTGCTAATCACTTTTTCGAATAATAAGACTGCTGAAAGCTGTAGGGTTGGGGATATATGAGTATGGATATGTTCAATTAAGAATATCTATGAATATTTTTTCAGGTTAGTTCAACCTACATCCAGTAACAGCCCATAAATATGCTGAGACCTTGTTTCATAATTTCTACTTGCTTTAATTCACAAAGGAACAAATCATGTGAAGTTTAGTGCATTTTCGAAAATTATTGCGATCTATGATTCAAGAGGGGTTGAAGGGGGGGGGGGGGGAGGCACACTGCGGTATATCCGCCGTTTGCAATATCTGTCATCGAAAGCTGGTTATATGGATTGTAATTTTAAGCTAATTTTAGTGTTAGGTTTAATCAATCAGAAATTGTGAGACAAGTGCAGCAGAAAATCTCGAAGGGAGATTGATTTGATATATTGAAGCTTACTCCATAAATAGCAATGAATCTCATTGTAAAGAGATAGATTTCAAATGGTTCCCAATAATCCCCATGCTATGTTTGTATCTTTTTTGCATACGTTTAGAATGTCTCATTGTCTACAATGAAGAGATTCTAGCACCTACATGCGCGAGGCCGCAATATCTTATGGCCGAGTGGTCTAGTGGTATGATTCTCGCTTTGGGTGCGAGAGGTCCCGGTTTCGATCACCGGCTCGGCCCTACCTTTTGCATCGTTCAACAAGAAGGAAGAAAACTTACCAAAATGCTGAGAGCATAGAGAAAAGCACTGCTTCTACTCCAGCGTGGAGGCAAAGATTCTTCAGAAGGCATACCGTCCTCTAGATGGAAAGGACGTCCTTCGTGAAGTGAGGAAAGTCTTGAAAATTTCATCGTTAACAGAGTCTGAAATTTTCAGTTCCTGAAAAGGCCGACATCTCACTCTGCAAGCTGCTCAAAAATTCTTCCTTTATATTGTTCGTAGTTGTCTTTTGGGGCCAATTCTCTCAGAGCAGCGTCGATCATACTGTAGTCCTGCAATGTACCATCTATACTTGGGTAAATTCGAAATTTTTCATCGAGTGGATGAGTATCGAATAAACTCGAAAATGAAAATCTCGAATAAACGAATGTCGAATAAGTTCGAGATTTGAAAATTCTCGAATGCGTGGATTCCGAATAAAATAAGAAAATCAAAAATATCGAATGAATGAATATCGATTATATTCGAACATGGAGAGTCGAATTTTGAATAAATATTCGATTGATTTGTTAGATAACTAGAGCAACCATATCTAAGTCTTGCTGACATATGAAGCCGATCCATTCATGATTAGCACCCTCATATCCCCTATAATTCCTAGCTCAACATTTTCCAAAAATCGCTGAAACCGATAAAATAGTTTTTATTTTCGATCGGCACCCCCATTTACCCCCTTTTACCAACTCCGCGCCTCATAGCTCAAAGTTTTCCAAAAATCGATGAAAGCATTAAAACAAATTTTTCTCCATAAAGGCAGTGTCCCGGCAGATTCGGGTCCTGGGGGATACACATGTGGTGGGGTTCCTGGTCACCCCACCGACCTCCAGGCGCAGTCCGGCTGGGTGATGTTCCCCCTGGGCCGAGAAAATGACCCTTGAACCGGCGCGCGCAACCCCAACTGGCGCGCGCTTGGACGGCTTTCCTTTTCCGTTCGGCGCGGGACCTCACGAGCGCTCTCCCCCATGATGCATGCTATCCAAAGCAAGAATTACGGGCGGCAGGGTCTTCGTATGAGGACCCCTCCCAACTTTCCATTAAAAATCTCGTCCGAGCTGCTTTTTTGGAATAAGGAAAACGCCCCAAAACCAGCCTTTTCAGCCCGTTCAAAGCTCAAATTCGGATTCTACGTGGTGAAAAGGCCTAAAACATGGAAAAAGATGGAGGTGCAAAATCTGCCGGGACACTGCCTATAAGCAGCGCCCTCACATACCCCCCCCCCCTGTACCAACTCCCAGCCCGGTAGCCTTTAAAATCGATGAAGTTGGTTGGTTAGTTTATATCAGCAAAAAGTCATGTTTTACTTCCCATTATCTACTAAACAAAATCTATTGCAAGGTTATATAACTGAAATCCATCAACCGTTTAATCCTCCACTATAGCTGGTGAGATCCTTTACTCAGAATATAAAAATTTGCGAAGAACTCCAAGGTAAAGGATAGAGGCACTTGTGCAACATGAGTTTTACAAGCAGGAGTGCTCATTAGTGTGGACATTTTGTATCAAAAGCTGAGCGATGCAAAGGAAGAGAAACCGACTTGTCAGCACCCTTCCAGTATATGAACTTGGAGCATGAGCTTGAATTTGATAGGTATTTATTGCTGATTTGGTGTCCAAAGCAGCGCAAACTATCTCGTTGATCGAAAAAGCATCATTTAAAATCTACACCTATTTTTTTAATGTCGCAAGCAGTTGGAGGAATGCGACTTTTCATGCAGTTTAAAGGTCATCACAACTGCAGAAAGATGCATTATCGAGTTTTGCGAAAGAAAAAAAAACGAAGCGAGCTTGATACTCAGCAGTTGGCTCCAACAAACTAGAATAATTTGAACACGAATTTCATTCGAATACGAAATCTAATAATTAATATTCGAATAAAACAACCGAACAAAATCTATTCGAAACCCCGTTTTTTGATTATTCGAGTTTCGAATTATTCGAAAATGGAGAAACTCCGAGTATCGAATTTCGAATGCGAATATATTCGAATGTTTTATTCGAATCGAATTTCTATTCGATTCGGACCTAACTGTAGCACCAAGTAACCTAACAATGCATTCATGAATGCGAATAGCTAAGATTTGATTCCTTCCTCTGAATTGATATATCTCACAGGGAAAAACCATGCTTTTCTCAAAGAAAATTATTGTTGATACAATGTAGACTTGAACTATATCAAGCGAGAAATATGCTAGGAAAAATTCCACCTTTATGGCTAAAAAAAGATCGTGTTCATCCTGTGTCTTCACAGAAAAATTTCTCGAGTGCTTTTGATTACCTGCTTCTATCCAAACAAAATCACTGATTGTATGCTGACACTATACACACTCTGTGTCAGACATGCGCCTTTTTGCACAGAAACAGCCCCCGCGACGCCACGGCTTACGTGCGTTCTCCAAGCGCAATTCGAATGATCAAGTCATACTTGCGCGAACGTAGCGCAAAGCTCTGGCATGGCGATTCGATGTGAGAAGGAGTACACGATTGACACAGACTGTACATTATAATGAAAAACATATGACACAAGTTAACGCTCACCATACAAATTCTTCAAAATTCTTGCTGTAAGACTTGTGTTCCTACCTAATTTGCCGCCTATTTTAGATATTTTTAGATGTTAAAAATAATAAACTGCTTACATGCTTGATTCGTTCTAACTTCTCATGTTGAATCTTCTCATCTGCTTCGTATTCTAGCCAGTGAAAGGCTGCTGCTCCAACCATCAAATAAACGAAGAGTGAAAGGTATAGGCCGGCATGCGGAAGTGCCATTTTGGCGCGCTGAATCATAATCTGCGGTTGACGAGGAAACTGCTGAAAAACATAAAGGAGCGCTGGAAGATGCTGCGATAGTATTGATACAGGGTGAGGTTTCACAGAAAGGAAACAAGAGAATGTTTGAGCTTGCCAAAAGCCATGGAGGTACTAATAGTGCAAAGCGATTAGCTCCTTTGAGCGAAGGGACACCATTCAGTGAAAACATTCTTCAATCCTGCTCCGGGGGATCCAAACATGGACAAATCAATATTACCATTGACTGATATCATTTGTACGAATGAAAGTGAGGTAGGGAAATTCAGAAGTCAAATGTATTGATTTTCTTATAATATTTACTCTATTGTTACAGGCAGAATGTATAACGGGTATCAAACAGAACAATTTGGATGATGCCAGGAGAGCAGCAGCCCAAATGATTACAATGGGACCAAAATATGCAATTGTCACTTTGGGAGCACAAGGTAAGAAGTTTTCCAAATGAACCTACACTGAGCTTCTGTTTCTGCGATTTTGAACGTTTGTTAAGGTATCGCGGTAGGTGCGTGGTTAGGTTTACTCATGGAAAAAGAAGTGAATCTAAGAAAGCATTCGGTTTTAGAAGATTTGCCAATCCAACAAGTGCTGTTTCAAATTTTTGTGTATCAATAATTTCTTTCAAAGTTGCAGTAAAATTTTATTAAGAGTCTTTTTAGTGAACATTAGAGTCTCTAAAAATTTATTCTGTAATGGAAAATTGAGCACATCGAGAGTTACAACTATTTTGCCGAATTTTTTATTTTGAGTCTCTCTTTTGTTGCTACACTTTAACATGTTGAATTTTCCTGCATTTAAACACAGAATCTATCATATAACCTGCACGTGAGATAAGTGTATATTTAAGGACCGACGGATAAGATAGAACGCAATTTATATTTATTTAGGTTGTGTTCTTGCTTCACAAGGTCGGGAGGTTGAACATATTCCAGCGAGAGAGGTGACAGCTGTCGATACAACGGTTAGCTTTACCTTTGTGATTTTATTCTTATTTACGATTACCACTCATCGAAGATTCCATGTCAGGGAGCTGGTGACTGCTTTTGTGGCTCGTTCATTTACTTCTTGATTAATGCAAAATGTTCCGTACGTGATGCTATGGAAAAAGCAGCCAATATCGCCGCTTTATCCGTTCAGCGGAAGGGCACTCAAGCTTCGTTCTGGACTCGGAAGGAGATAGGAGAGACATATCCAGAACTTTTAAAATGAATCTTCACGAGATGTTCACAGTTGTTCTAGGAAGTAGGATGTGCATTTAAGGTTGTAGGGTTTAGTAGCAGTATAAAACGAAATTTTTGAGTACATGTAACTTTGCTGCTCTTCCTTATCTAGGTATGGGTTAAGAAACTTGTATGGGTCTCCGTGAATAGCTTCTCAATGTCCAACCGCTATGCAAATCTTGAATTGTATGCTCATCGAAATGAAGAATTCTAACTGAGGGTTCACCAGTTAACCTAAGAACGCCATAGATAGAGCCATCGATCTCTACATTCGCATCCCTTTCCTTCTCAATAGAGCTATCTCCCAATTAAGGTGTATCGACGCGATTTGGCAATTTGCCTGTCCTCAAATGCAAAACTTGCAGGTTACGACCATAATGTGTATAACTTCCGCAGACTTACATGATGACTATTTTCTGTACAGTTACAATGCATTTGCGATGAGTTATAAACATGTGGAGTATTGCCAAGTCGCGTCGTGACTACAATCGCGTGAAGTATGCCCGGCCTTTTACAGTAATATAAAGGCAATATTGGGATGGCGCGTCAACCTCTATTTTCTTTTTCTTCCAAAGAATTCTTTCAATGTTCTTTTTCACAAAGCTTTTGTTCGGCATCTGTACTGATATGAAGACAGTCTGGAAGTTTAAGCTCCTCAACAAACAATCCAAGTTGGAAATTTGTCAACTTTTCAAAAACTCTGAAACTCAAAAAATGGTTTTTTTATGTGTGACATGATTATATGGTGCTATAATTGCCTTCACATAAACTAAGTAAGAAAAAAATTTTGAATTCAAAAATTCAAATTCAAAAAATTTCAAAAAATCTTTTGAAAATTTGTGAGCATTTTCCTTAGTGTAACACAACTTTTGTTACACCTAGTACAACTATCGCATCACTCTTCGTTAGTAACGCATTTAGTAATGGAACAGTTTAGCTATAATTTGAGATAACGGATCTGCCATTCTCTTCTGTTGAGCTGTAGTTTTGTTTCTATTTTGTGCAATATCAGCGCTTCGTTTTCTTAAATTTTCTGGCATTATAGTACAATTTTATTGCTGAATAGCATTAACCCATTTTTATTTCTTCGTCTGTTTTGCAACACATGTGTTGAAAGAATTTTATCTTCTGATAAGGGTACAATTCATTTGTTCGTTGTTAGAGTTAATCTGTACTTTCATTTTTTACACTGTGCCTAGTACATAATTACTGTTTACTTGTCTAAGCGCGAAACTGCCCTTACTCGTCACCACAAGTTTTGAACACGTTTCAGTTTCAACAGAAAATGTTCTTGTCCATTTTTACCCTTCATCTTCCAAGTGTATGGTATGCATTCCATTGCGCTGTTTATCTGCTAAAAACTCATTGGCTAAAGGGCCGGGCATACTTCACGCGATCTGGCAATATTTCAAGTGTCCATAAATACTGCAAGTATATTTTTGTCGATCCACGTAACTCATACAAACTAGGTATACATGTGAAGCTTGCTAGTGTTGCATCTGAAGACTTCTGGCAAATTGCCAAATCGCGTCGCGACTGGAATCGCGTGAAGTACGCCCGGCTCTTAAAGGCAGCGTACACCCAAAATCTAAGCTACCGAATTTCCTAGATCTTTCTATACCATGTATATACTGGGCCCAGAAGAAGACCAACTGCGTTGGTTCGGTCTCCCAATGTTGCTTCTGAGCAGAGAAAACCCCCTCAATTTTCTTTCACTCGCCCCTTTTCTTTCACTCCGCCTCCTCCGGACGAATCCACGACCGCGTAAGCTTCAGTTGCCGTTGCAGTTGCAACTGCAGTTGCTTTTTGCGGTGCGCCTCCTTCAGGCGACGAACCACGACAGCATATGCAGCAGTTGCAGTTGCAACTGCAGGCTGTCATGCTGTTGCAGCTGCTGACATGCCGACGGGGACGAGCAGTTCGAAACTCGTCCGCCCCTGAAGAGAGGGTCCCTGGAAATCGGGGCTTTTTGGGACTTTTGGAGGATTTCAATGACATAACTGTAATCAGCGGCACGGAAAGGCCCCAGAATGACAAAAATATCGAAGGTGAAATTTTAGGTGTACGCTGCCTTTAATCTACCTTACAATTCAACAATCATTATTAAATCAAAGAATTGAGAATGTGTTTGGAATTTTTTTCTATAAATCGATTTTCATGTTCGTAGCCATTGTTATTATCTGATCAAATGTCTAGTTGAAATACCAATATTTCCCGAAAGTTTTTTAGAAGCAGCTCATCGTACTCTTATCGCATTCTCACTCCAGAAAAAAAATGACTTTATTTTATGGATTTCTCTCACGTACTTCTCTCCATTCGTTCTTCTTGTTAATAGATCTAGAAATCTTTTGGCTACTAAAATGATCTAGGAATGCCCAGACTATTTTTCTATACAATGTAGTCGTCCCATAGTTCACAGTTTTGTTCAAGAGTATAATCTCTTTGAGAAAATGTGATGCTCCTTTATTTCTTGCTACTTGTTCTATTTTCATGCAACTATTGATGGTTTTCAGCAGTCAGAATTCTTTCATGTGACTGACAGAGAACACTCAAAGGAAGTGCCATGACATATAAGCTCAAATGTGTACATGCAAAACATTTCATCAAAAAGTCATGATCTATTTGTATTAGTTACAAAGTTGATATGTTCCTTTATCGTCCGCTATGAGCTGTACGTAATCTTCCCACAAGCACATTGTTATTTGAACAGTTCTATGTTTACACCAGGTACACTCCTTCAAGCATGGAAGAAGACCACCTAGTATAAGTTTGACTGAGGCCAAGTATGAGAATAGCTATTCGTTTCAAGTACCCTACATAAGCTACATTTGCAAATAAAATTAATTTTTTTACAAATCAAAAACTCTCAGCTCTTCAAAAAAATTCCGAATTATTTTTTCGAAGCATATCAAGAATTTGTTTAGGAATAGCTAACCCCTTAAACTCAAAAGAAAATTATTCGCATTCCTTCCTCCAAATAAATTTTTGGAACCTCCACTGATCGAAATGTAATTTTTTCGATGTTTGCGAGAGCACACTTTTCGCAAAACAAACGAATTTTATGAATTTTTTAATGCAGCTAGGCACACATCTGTAGATTTTAGGCCTCGGGCAGAGTTCACGCTATTTCATCGCCGCGATTCCCCCAACAAGACAAACAGTTACGAGTCTGTTGCATGCCCATCATCTTGCATCTCGGTGATAGTTCTCCAACACGAGACCTATAATGACTAACTGTCACAAACGAAATACAAGATGATCGACATGCAATGTATCCGTAACGACTGTCTTTTTGGGGAATCGCGGCGATGAAATCGCGTGAACTCTGCCTGAGGCCTTATACGACTTTAGATCCAAATAACGCACCAGTGTGAGAAATTATAGAATTTCGTTACAGCAGCATTTTTTTTGAATTCATTAATTTATTCATGCTTATATAAGTTGCTTTGCGTACTCCAAATTTGTACTTGTAATGAAGAACTGTTTGTTGATCAAGCGACTGCAATAGGAGCAGCGTTCGCTATTGATTGTGTATTCCAACAGCGGCAGTCACCTTATGTGTCACCTCCGCAAATACAAATTCCATGCATTCTTTCATACTTAGTTAAAATTCAACTGGTATATCTCGAATTCAGCGTCCACTAATTTATGCTTTAAAATCAATCTATATTAAGTTTATTGATGGTTAAACACTAAGTAAAATATCGCCGTTCTTGCGATTTTGTACTCTCTTAGATGATGTTAGCAAGAATTTTCCACTTTTTACAAGCTCCCAACAAAGTCCTCCTTCGCCTACTCTCCACGGACTGTGCCTTTAGTTTTCTCAATGTATTGCTGATTTGAATGTTCATTGCCTATCCGCTTACAAAGATTTTGAAGCTTTATGAAATTTTGAAGCTTTATGAATCAGTGAAACTTGTATCATAAAGAACTCTTGGGTTCTTAGTTCTTTTATGCTAGAACAGATTTGAAACATACATACTTTTCTCAGCTTTTAATCAATAATCGTAGCATTAAGCCAGTTTTTCGTGCTACGAGCCCTTTTGTTGCTTCTGATAATCTGACATATACAAGTTCTGATAAGAAAAGGAAGTAGGATTAAACGCTTTTACTTTCATGCGTGTGTACGATTATCGGCAAAATTTTTTCCATTACAAATCTGTTCCTCAAACAAGCTCCGTTTATCCTGATCGGAACCTATTCCTATTCTTGAATCTGAAATCGATATTTTTCAGTAATTTTCCCTCCAAAATGCCCAAGCGTAAGAAGATCGTTGTTTTTGGTAGTATTAATCAAGATTTAACTAGGTGGGTATTTAAGTCATTCAAATTGTTTTTCTTTACAAATAGAGCTAGAACTATGAGAGCTCCTTATCTTTTTTATGAGAATTTCTCAGCAAATCAAACCTAATAGCAAAATTTTAATTGTTTGTTATCATCCAGACACTACAAGTTTCTTTTGTTTATGCAATTCTATTGAGAATTTTTTTATGAACGCATTTATAGTTGATCTTTTCTTTTGTATGTTCTCGCAAAGCCACTTATCAATTATAAAGTACTGCTATTCTAGAAGCTTATACTCAGCAACATTTGCATTTTGCCCCCCCCCCCCCCATCTCACCACGTACAAAATTTTAAAGAGCCTGTAAATCTAGGTTGAGGCTGCAGAAGATGTAGCATCCGTGAAATTTGAGAAACACGTATAAGTATCATAATGCAACGTTTATATAAAATATTGGTTCTAATAATCGGTATGCATATTCCAGCTATACTGAAGAATTTCCACGACCAGGTGAAAGCGTACGTGGGAATGGATTCAAAATGGGTCACGGTGGCAAAGGTGCTAATACAGCCGTAGCAGCCGCAAGACTGGGCGGAGAAGTACAATTTATTGGCAAGGTAAGTAAGAGTGATGAGGCAATATGTAAAGCGATTTTCTAGCCAAACAAGCTTCTATTTACAAGTAGGGCATAGACGAGTAAATAACACTCATATTAGGTTACCGATGCCTTGAGAAAATCGTGGAACAAAATAGCAAAAAAAAACCAACTGTTTCGAGCTGGTCTGGACCAGCCACCCAAAACCTGTATCATTCAGCTGTCATCTCATAAAGATTGCATTGTAATTATCATATTCATCATCTAATATCTTTGTAAAATAGATTTTTCTTTGTTAGATTTTCACATAAGTTTTATTACACTTGACAGGAAAAATCCTCATAACTATTTCCTTTTCCAAATTGTGAGTTGTGGGTTTTCAGACAACTTCTGACTTGTCAAAAATTCTTCTTTTTGTGGCAAATTTTCAAGTTCTGCCAAGAGCTTCGATTACATTACTTACAACCTACATATTATGTGGTCCATGTCAGGTGGGAGACGACCTTTTCGGAGAGAACTACATAAAAAGCTTTCAACAAGATGGTGTTGATACGACACATATAGAAATTTCAAAAGAAAGTCCGACTGGTACCGCCACCATACTTGTGAACGGGCGTGGTCAGTTTGTTTTTCAATTTAGTCATGTAGGTACCTTTAAATCAAAATGGCTTGCGGCTAGAAGGCGGAGCTTTGTGACCTAATTAAGGCCGCTAGCGCCCGCGACGCAGTCTGCGTCTCTCCTGCGCGCGTGCTTACTGATCATTATCTGGCCTTAATTAGGTCACTGGCTAAATACACCCTTTAATTCAACTGGCTTGGCAGCTGGAAGCCCCGCCTTCCAGCCGCCAAGCCAGTTGAATTAAAGGGTGTATTTAGTTAAATGGCTGTAAGCACTGACTTCCAAATTTACACAGGTGAAAACTGCATTGTCATTACCACGAGTGCAAATGCTGAGGTAAATGAAGAAGTTGCTGAAAAACATGAAGAAGCACTTGAAGATGCGGCGATTGTGATGATACAGGGTGAAGTCTCTCCGAAAGGAAATAAAAGAATTTTTGAGCTTGCTAAAGACCATGGAGGTACGAATTTCTATCTGCGATCACCGCTGATTAGTGCAAGAAAAATCTGTTGCAGTACAAACGTTCTTCAATCCTGCTCCTGGAGATCCAAATTTGGACAGGTCAATTCTATTGATAACGGATATCATTTGTACAAATGAGAGTGAGGTGACAAGTTCTAACAACTGTATTATTTTCGCTAGCTATAAAAAATCTGTTGCAGACAGAATTCATTACGGGTATAAAACCAGAAACAGTGGATGACGCTAAGAAAGCAGCTGCCGAAATGGTTACTATAGGACCAGAACATGCGATTATCACCTTAGGAGCACAAGGTAGGGTTTGACACAATCGCTAAATCTGCTTTTCGCAAAACAAAAAGAGCACACAGATTTTTTGTTCATAGGAAGCGCATCACTTCAATTTTCTCTAGAAAGATGTCGAAGGCAGTGTCCCGGCATGATTTTGTTTTCCAGTTTTTCACCATTTCGGAGCCTTCCCGCCAAGAACCCATATTTGGGCTTTGAACGCATGAAAATGGCGAGAATGGGTCGAATTGCAGGTCCACGTTCAGCGAAAATACGTCTATGGACGGAGTTCCAAACGAGGGAAGCGGGGTGCGGAAGACCGGCATATTTTCACTGAATGCGAACCTGGAAAGCTTCGAAAAAGGCTTATTTTCGCCATTTTCATGCGCTGAAAAGCCCAGATACGGGATCTTCATGGCGAGAATGCTCCGAATAGCTGAAATATTGAACAGCAAAATCTTGCCGAGATGGCCTTCAAAATTGACAAAAAGAGGCCAGCGGCTATCTGCATCGAGGGCTCTTGCCTGAACAAATGGGAAGACGCCTTGAAATCTATGCATACATGTGCCTAGATAAGTCCTATTTACAAGAGTTTGATCCTAAGCATATGAGTCAACTTACAATCAATTCTAAGCTCACTTGTTGATACTGAGTTAATTGGAAGGTTGGTAATTCAACACACACAGAGCTGAATGACGGGTTTAGGCGGCGATGAACAAGCTTTGCATTATTGCGACGCATCCGTAGTTCTCTCCATCTCTTTTTTTTTTTGAAGAGACGCCTTTTTGTACAAGAAGGTTCTGTCGTTCAAATCTGCTCAGAAAAAAGCTGGAGGGCTTGAGTTTTGCAGGTAGCCTTGAGTCTATAAAATTATAACGTGTATTTTCTCTTTCAATCAATCTGACCACACTATTAGGCTAGTGAACGCTAAATCTAAATCTGCCTTTCTTATCTGTTGTGCGCTTCTAGACGCCGAGTTACGATTGCTTCAAAAAGCACGATTAGAAGAAAACCGTCAAAAAATGCTCGAATGCTCCTTTGTCAGACACATTGGACGTCGTGCCCATTATATACCTTTGTCTGATGAAGTCACACTCGACTGCTTGTGCTCTAAAAGAACCATGGTTTTTACATGGATTCTGTATCAAATCTTTGCCTTAACACGTTGACGACGAGCCATTTTTTTGCGGTCTGTCCCTGTGGACGAGACGTTCCATGCATCTCTACGCGTGGCCCATGTATGTATGCATGCATCCATGCACGAAGTACAAAATGTGCAAGCCTCGCCCCCTCTGGCAAGCTCCGCCCACTCGACCAAAAATGTCGGAAATCGCACAAATTTCAAGAATTTATGCGATTTCCGCCACTTTTGAAAAGTGGGCGGAGCTTGCCACTTAGACGGCGGAACTTGCCTGACGGTGGGCGGGGCCTGGCTAGAAGTTGCCTGAATTTTTTGCGTTCATCTACAGCCTCATCCATGCTTTTTGTGGACAAAAAGGATCCTTGTGAGAGGCATAAAAGTGGGCGGAGTTTGCCAAAAGGGGAGGGCCTAATACATGAAGTACATTTGAGCGTATGTTGATTAAGCATCCATGTTCGACTATCCATAAATCTTGGCATTGTTGTAATCTTCTCGTTGGTTGCTTGAGCGTAGTCCAAGATTGGTACAGATTTATCGCACAGAACAGAATACAGACTAACGTTTCGGCGAACTCGCCTTCTTCAGAAGGTCAGGTCAGCACCGGGTCACTAGTCAACTATAAAAGTTAAGCGGTACAGTTTTTGACATAAGTGGTCTGCACCCACCTAATTATTATCATCTTCTAAGGTGAGCACTAGCTTAATCTTGGTTTTGGTTGAGGCTGTTGTTTTTCCTAGGGGTTGGTCTCTTTTCTGTGGTCGATGAGGTGTTTGATCGGATAGTTTACTTATGTGTCTTCGACTTTTCAGACTCTGAAGAAGGCGAGTTCGCTGAAACGTTAGTCTGTATTCTCTTCTGTGCGATAAATCTATACCAATCTTGGACTACGCTCAAGCAACCAACGAGAAGAACCTATGTTGATTATATGAACAAAAACTGAGAGGATTGGACAGATAGTATTGAATTTAAGGCCGCCGCGCATCATTGCGCGGCACTGTCGTCAACGTGTTAAAAACGCTCTTAACTCTGCGTCCAAAGGCGCACAGCAGATAATTACGGAATCGAATTAAAGGCAGTATCCATGCTAAATCTAACCGATTAGTGCCGATCCTGAATGTAGGCCTCAGGAGAGGGGCATCTGCGTTGGTACGGTCCTCTAATATTGTCTTTGAATAGAGATAGTGGACCTGAAGAGCCAAAGTGCTATCAAGCTCCGCCCTCCCATGTCCTGAAAGCCGTCCGCGCCCACAAGACAGGGGTCTCCAGAAATAGGTTTTTTGGGGGTTTCGGACAGTTTGAACATCATAACCGTAGTCGGGGCCACGCAAAGGGCCCTAGAATTGGAAAAACACGGCAGTCGAATCTTTGGATGGACGCTGCCTTTGAGAGTTCAAGGCTTAGGCCACTTCGATTAAAAACGCTTCCTTGCAGGGGGGGGGGGAGGGAGGGGGATGTATTCCAAGAGAAACTTTCCTGTCGAGAAAGATTCGAGAGCAAGCTGTTCGGCGAAGTAAATGCAGACTTCCTACAGTAAGCCTCCACTCACAAACTGAAGAAGAAACTTCTAAAATTTTTTTACAATTCTGTGACACATGCGAATTTTTAGGCTGTGTGCTCGCATCTAAAGACCATGAAGCTGAGCATATCCCAGCCAAGAAAGTGACCGCAATCGACACAACGGTTGGGAGCCCCGCCTTCATTCGTAAATCAGGACACAAATGTTAATTTGTCTAGGGAGCTGGTGACTGTTTCTGTGGCTCCTTCGCTTACTTCATGATCAATACGGATTGTTCTGTGCGTGATGCCGCAGAAAAAGCAGCTAACATCGCCTCCTTGTCCGTTCAGCGAAAAGGAACGCAAGATTCGTACTGGACCCGTGAAGAGATTGAGAAGAAATATCCAGAGTTCTTAGAATAATTTTTCGATATCGCTTGTTCTCTAACATCTAATCTCATAGCTCTTTCAAGTCACTTTTTTCTTCACTTTATTCTCAAAAACTGGTCAACACAGCATAGGGCTGAGCTAGAATAGCAACAGATGTCTATCGTCATCAAAGAAAAATGAAATTTTTGACAAATGGAAATTACTTCTACCATTCCATGTCTAGGTATGACTTGAGAAAACTTTCATGGATTTCCGTGAACATCAGGTCACAGTGACGAATTTCATAGCGAAGGAACTGAAAGTATATTTTCAAAAATTGTGATTCTTCAACAATCACAGTCTTGAACCAGAGAGAAGCCCTTTTGCACCGTTACCGTAGGCTGCTATCATTTTGTGCTACATCTTAAATCATAGATGAAGGAAGCATCCTAAATGGGCCGGAGAGAACGTGAGCGTGTAAAGTTTAGCAGTGAGTAGATTTATGATGGCATACTGTACAACGATGCAAAAAGGTCCAGCCTCGCTTGAATATACAGCCTGTATCAATTGCACTCCTTTACAAGCGGCTACGCTTCAAGGCGGCCCAATCAAAACGCTTGCTCCGTTTTTTTTAGCCTAAACTGCCCAAACCAAACGTCTGTAAACGTCGTGCGTGACGCTCTGACGCGGATGTGTCCTTGGAAAGGCACACTACGATTGAGGCAGACTATAAACGTCATGTTTTTTTCTTATTTTTTATGGGTATCCTCCTTGTACCTCTCTTTCATTATTCACTCCATGCTGATCGCCTTTCAGCTTGTCAAACTCAGCACATATCCTTTCGATTATCTCAAACTTAGACTCTATGAGATGAAGGAGGCGAGCCTCGAGTACGACTCTGTGACCAAATTTGATATTCCTTTCCTGAAAGACTCTGTTTTTTGGCATCAAAACCTTTGCAATAGTAACGTACCACATGCTCATCCCATATTTCAAAACCTTGGCATGCTTTGTCAAGAAGTTCGGTAAGAATCTCGAACCTGCACACACTAGAAGTTTTACTGTATACCTAGCCTCTATCACCTACCTATCCTCTTCAAGACTACGATCCTCCCTAGGCAGAGCCCACAGGGTGGATTCAAGAACTTTGATCCTTTTTTCTAGTTCAATATAACGTCGAGAAATGTCCTAACAATTTTCAGATTAGAAAAAGCAGAAATTTTTGAGCTTGCTAACCGGAATGTACTTTTTCGCTACATAATCCGGCAATTCTTTCATATCTTTGTAATATGTTGTGGGTTTTGTTTTGAGCTCTTCGTAAAACTCAGGACTTTCAAGTGGTACTGTAATGCAGGACCATTGATGCTGTGCTAAATCTGCTCAGGACACAAACCATCCAATCCCAGTTCTTTGACTCGATCCGCAAGAGGAAATTCTGGTGCTGGTGGATACGACGATTTCTTGGCTTCTTCCCTTTCCTTGTCCAGTTGAGCCTTCTCCTCTTCAGTCAGCTCTGGCACCAGACGTGCCTGTAGCATTCGGTTTAGGGTTCGGCTTGGAGTGATCATGACTTCATGACTCACATCGCCTTTCCCTGCCTGTTCCACTTCGGCCATGCTGCAAATGAATAGCAAGTGGAAATGACCCCTTTTATATATAAGTTGATATCTTATCATCTGCTTGATGAGAAATGAACCAAGTGCTGCTGAGATCTACAGATTGGTTGTTCCCATGCGGTAAGACAAATGCTTCGTTTAGAAATTCTTCAAAGGATTTCCAAACCAGTTGGTGTACCAACTTTTTACAAAGTTTATCAAAAACAGTAGGTGATGGATATTTCTATGCTACATCTTACTTTAACTGGAGCTGATAGTTTCCTCAGAAAGTTACACTATCAGCGTAAATCTCGAATATCGCGAATCTTTTTTGCCTAAATATCACGAGTTGCAAGCGGTATTACTGATTGTGAGATTAGTGATAGTAACACTAATTAGAGCAACATAACTTTCGCTACGTTTTCTTCGTCATCTAAAAAAATAAACGATTTGGCAGTCTCGTATTTGGATTACATAAAAAAGCGAATTTTCACCTCCGCGTATATTTTATCTTTTAAGAAAATTCTACCATTCTTCGCCTCAGACAACTGACCGGGACTTTCGCAGAACTTCCAGGAAAGTTTCGCCGGGTGACTGCGGAAGTTCCCAAGTGAGGTGTTTGCGGAAGTTCCCAAGAATGCGAGCCGCAGAAGAGGACACAGCGAGTTCGAACGTCTATTGATTACGAGGCTAACTCACTATCCTGTCCTCTGCACTGGAATTTTTCGGCCACAGCGTTTTGTAAAAAGTCCGGCGGAAGTTCTTGTTTTCAACTAGTATGACGTGAAAATACTGCAGAAGTTTGCATTCTGAACAATTCCACCTTTTTAATAAACAAAACCCTGCGGAACCGCTGCAGATTTTGCTTGTCCTATGCAATTTTTAAAGCTATAAGTCCTACGAAGTTTTTTAAAGCTGTAGAAATCTCAGTTCCATAAAGAATTTTCAAGACCATTAAGTGCTAATATGGAGAACTTTGCAACTTCACGCCAACAATAACTAGGCAGAATTTTGACGGTATGAAAAATTTTATTTTATGTGTGAACGCACATATCGCAACGCTACAAATCACAGCGTAACTAAAAATGAGAACTCTTCGAAAATTTTGAAGATTTTTTCCTCTAAAAGCAACAAAATTATTGTTACGATACTGTCAACAAATTGAGCTTGATGGCTATTTATTCTTCGTTAGGCTTAGATCTCAGCATGGAAAACTTTCTAGCATTAAATTCAACATAGTTACGAATTGTTATAATTTTTATTAATGACGGAGTGCCATTACCACATAATTAGGTGCCATCTTAATTGTTGTTGAAAGCAGCTTAGAGTATGTTACAAAAACCTTTATACAAACATTGTACAAATGCATAATAACGACAGCTACCAACATACTACAGTAAAAGTCTTCGTAAAAAATGTTAGCCATTCTTTTTACCAGCTTTCTTTTTATGTCCCGCCTTTCCTTTATGCTTCACTCCCTTTTTGTTATTGTTCTTTTTGGGGCTCGCTTTTTTTCCACCTTTCCCGCCTTTTCCTTTACCTTTTGACACTTTTTTATTTTTGTTTTTCATGCCAGCCTTTTTTCCATTCCCTTTACCTTTTCCTTTGCCTTTCTTTTTTGGACCAGCTTTTTTATGAGTCGTCCCTTTTCCAGGTCCCTTTTTTCCTTCTGGCTTTTTGCCAGGACTTTTGGGTGGAGCTGGCTTTGGTATCCATTCCGTGAATATACACATGACCTGTGTCACCCTTCTATCAGGCACATATAAAGTAGCACATCCAAAAGCCTTCTTCTTTCCATCTTCGATCAGCTGAAAAACCCTCGTCTTTACAAAAAAAATCAGCTAGGATGAGAAGTTTACTATACTATAGTAAACTATTGGATTGAACCGAAAGTTTGCACTATTTTCAAAAAATCGTAACTTCTTCCTGTCATAGTCTTGTATGAAAAAAATACTACTAGAAAGAGTATGTTATGCTCTTTACAAAACATTTTTCCTACTCTTAATATGCTCTGATTGGAGAGATAAATATATAAAAACGATGGCTTGAGCTTTGCTGATTTGAGGCAAGCCCCTTAAAAATCTAAAAGTGTGCAATAAACTCCAAAACAGTCAATGTCATAGGTTTTCTGACCTCCCCTTTCTAATCAACAAAGCAAAGTTTGTGCTGATCGAGCTTTTCTTTCAAAAGCTCTGATTTTCGAAAAAAATCAGAAAAATCAGTTCTTACGAAAATCGATTTTTTGACATTTTTTTCCAAAAATCATAACTTTTTAAAGAAGGGCTGGATCAGCGCGAAGTTTGCTCAGCTAGAAAGAGGGGACTAAAAACGTAGGCAATGGCTGTTTTGGATTTTATGGCACAGTTTTGGAATTTTTTACGGGCTTGCCTCAAAATTCCGAAAATGAAGTGCTTCCCTTCTTCCAACTTCATCTCAGCATTCAGAACTTGGTAGATATCAGCCAAGGTGCCCATAGAAAGTGCATGATTTGCTCTTTTCGATGAAGTCTCTATTATGCAAAAATATTATGATAGAAAAAGCTACGATTACTTGAAAATGGTGCGACAGAACTTTTGGTTCAACCTAATATATAGTCTGCTGACCTAAACTGCATTGTGTAAAAGACTCATTGCATCCATAACATTTTTCAAATATGCCTTATTAGTTATTTTAGACAAGAAATTACTCACACTGCTTATAAGGTAGATTTTATCCTTCCCCATTGCATCCCTCGTACTCCATTTTTCTATAGCTTGTTTAACGAGCGATTTTGAGCTTACTTTTCTGGAATCATGAATCGTAAAAAATTCAAATTAAGTAGTTTTTTCATTACAGGCATACCCCTTGACTTCGGCAAACAGATCTTGATAGTTATTGATGGTATCGAGCACCATCAATTCATCTTCCAAATAATCCTTCGCCTTCTTTTTATTATTGCACTCGAATTCCTGGAACAACCTTTTTTGTCAAGGGAATTATTACCAATTTATCTGGAGAAGCGGTGTTGAAAAAAATGTTCAAAAATTTAGGAATAATAGTGACATAATCTTTGACTGACCACGTCTAAACGCCGATGTTTGAACTCCTCTTTCATCAAAGCATTCAAATTGTCAAAACAATTATCTTCTGCAGCAGCAACCAGTGCAGGTGATAACTTCAAATATATATGTGAATGTAACTAATTCGTCTATAAATTATTTTTCTATAAATTAAAGAGTACCTCAAAACTTACGAGGACAAAAATGTATAGACGGTCCATGCTTATTTGCTGTGGTACACTTCATGAACCATATGGACCTTGGCTTTTTTCTAAACTTAAATGGTGTAAAATTATGAAAAAAAGCTTCTTTTTGAACTTGAATTCAAAGAAAAACATCGAGACAAAAATTGGTAATGATGTAAAATAACCGCAAGCGATTTCGGTGAGCATCTAACTGCGGACAAATTTATTTTATCAGCCCTAGTCTGCCCTCAGATAGACCTGTAATTATGTCACAGGACCTTCTGGTATACTTTATATTCGTATACAGGCACAACAGCTGCGCATTAGTCAAAAGGCATTCTAACATTTACATCCGTATCAGGATTATTACAGCTGAGCAAATGAGTGTGGTTCATTTTCGTTGGCGTTTTTCGTACTTTGCTTATACAATAGAGGACATAGTAGATGTCTTCAAACCCAGGAACAGTAAAATAGAATGTCAAAAATATTTGAGATTTGGCTATGAGCTGGTACCCCTCTTTGTTTCGCAGCTGGCAGTCGCTTACCTTTCTATAGAGGTTGAAAATTGTGAAATTGCTGATGTCTTCCTAGTAGTTGGACCTTTTCTATGACCTATCAAAACCTAGCAATGACCCTAAATCAATTCAAACTTTAGAATGCTTGAGTCAGCTATGCGACGTCATGAGTTTCAAGAACGCCTTAAACCCGTAAGGCCTACTTTCAACCAAAATAGTAAAAATGCGTCCAACAGTCACTGCTTCTGCATCCCATTGCCCCTCAAAGTCATCCATGAAAGAAGGTAAGGAGGGGGAGGAGGTGGTGAGGGAGTGGTATAGTGCCATGAGGCGAAGCATAACCCGATGTGATCAAAGTTCGATCTCTGCCCTGGGATCAACCAAGCGCTCTACCTCGGAAGGTTCATACCAGAGTAATAGAGTATTGAAGCACTGATTGCTAACCGACCAAACTTTGCAATTTATCGTACTTCCCATCTTTACCGACTCAAATTTTCTTACCGAATTTTTTACCCTATAAATGTATCCAACCTGCCAAACGTGTCCATCACAACTTCCAAAATGTATTCCAACTGGATAATTTGAAGAAAGTCAGTGACTACGAAACTTGAGCACGAACCAAACACAATTCATTCCCATGCAAAATACATGTTTAAACGAACTACAATCATGTGGAATATTTTAGTTTGAGAAGCCATTCACATCGAGGTTTATGCTTCTTTTACTAGTGGCTTGTGATGTTCACGCGATGGACTGCCATGCATCGACGTCCAGCAGGATTCGCAATAGTACTGAAAAATGCTTGAAAATAATTTTTTCTCAGTTTAGAAATGTTACAGAACTTGTAAACACTCCAGATGAGGGCAGAAAAATGGCGCATGCCTTCCACCATTTGGCTCTCGAATGCATTCCTCACAAATTTGGTCATCCAACACATATGGCTTCATCTCTACCTGGAAATTCTGATCTAACTCAACGATTTCACAAAACTGACAAAACTTACTCTTTTCTCAACTTCGCCATGGCTCAGCTGCGCATATCTTTCTGTGATAGCTCTCATGTAGGAATTATAATTGGTAAAAGCCACTCTTCCTGCGCCTAAATGAAATCACAATCAATAATTTTTTCTTTGAAAAATTATTCTATCTGAAACTCACCTTTCGGATATTTATACTCAACATCGGTATCGATTCCAGCGCATGCAACGCTACCGTAGAGACGATCCATGATATGTGCCAACTCCACTAAAAAATCGATTTGTTGATTTTCCTTACTGACACAGCGACACCCAACCTGCTCTAATCGGTCTTGGTACTCCACCGACGAAAACCACACGACGTAGGTTTATTGGCACATTTACATCTACTAAATAATCAGCATCTGCCAGCCGCCAGGGACGGATTTGCACTTTCTAAACCTTTGGTACTCAAAGGTAAGGTGGTGAGCGAGGAAACCAGGCCTACTCACAAGCTTTTCCGCATTCATCGATGAGCTGATAAAGAGGAAAAGCTTCTCATCTTCGATGGTACAGTGTTGGACCAAAGTGCGCACAGATGTTTCATGATTGAAAATTAGAAAAACATAACCTGAAATGAACAGGGATGAAAAAATTCTAAATTCAGGGAGAAATCATAGGCGAAATCGCAAGCAAAGATTGGACGTTATTGCGTCCGATCAAGAGAGTTTGCCCTTGAAGAGGGAGCAGACGGCAAGAGGAATGAGAGAAGATAGTGCCTTGATTAGAGACGCAAACAATGCCCGTAGCGGCGTTCTTCGCTGCGTGCGATGACTCGGCTTTACCTTTTGGTGGATAGTAACTCTTGGTTTCGTTTTTATTAGGCCAGTCAACAACTAGGGGTCCAAATCGTGCGAATGTTTCTACCAATTCATCTGAAATACGTTCTTCTTCATGCTCTTAAACTTGTAAAAAAAAGCCCACCCTCCTCGATATCGATGGGCAAACCACCCACGAACACTTTTCGGCTATAAATTTCTGGACCCAGATTGTATTGTCGATAATATTTTGACTTGAGTGCGCGGCTAAAACCTCATTATTTTTTTCAGCAAGGCTTAGTAAATCCCAACCAGATTGTAGGCTGTTGAAAAGATGATGTGCTGCTACGAGATTCACAGTCTGAATTCAGGGTTATGCCACTTTCTAGAAGTTTCTGGATGCCCTGACAGAGGTATTCATAGTATTCCACATATTGTTCATCAATCATGTTGAGGTCAGTTCTCTAAAAAAATTTCGCGACAGCCTTTTCTATGATAATCTCAAAAAAAAAAACCTCATTATTATTCCATCCAATTCGAGGTCCATCTCCAGACTGTTCAGCCACACTGCTTTTACTTCCTGATGGTGAACTTACTAAAACAAACCAGAGCAGATTTTTTGAGAATTTTGTGATAGAGAAAATCATTCAAAGCCTCCTTACAATCTTTCTCCCACGTTTCCTTCTCATCCTCGTCTTCCTCCCGCTTTGCAGCATTTTTCCGGTCTTTTGATCTGCGATTTCCTAGGGGGACCAATGCCCTCGAGCCATTTGCAGCCACAGCCATCTAAAACTAAAAACGTTCTAAGCAACTGTCGTAGCAGCTGGACCCTGAAAACCTCTGTCTCTTTCCTATCTTTGCGAGAAGTTCCCTCGATATGCGCATCTGCATGATCGGCATCAATCGTAACCGAATAACTTTTATTCCCAGCCTATGATGCACGATGAAACAACAATTTTGGTATCAGGACAAATTGTTCCTAACCTGGGCGTTACCATGATTTTGCTCATGTGAGCGTCTTTGTGTTTGTCGATCGGGTCTTTTGCTATGCTCATCCTGATAGTACGTGGCAGCATTTGTTCTGGAGAATCCGCCGAAGGGAGAATTCTCTTGGAAGGGATTTCCTTTTATAATCAAGATAAAGGATAATGAATCAGTCAGAAAATTTGAGGTTATATTAGCTATGCATAAGCATTGTGCATTTGGAAACGCTGAAAGATTTTGCAAGAAAGCTTTTCCAAACAAGGACGAAGCAGTAGTTTTAGGCCCCGGACAGACTTCACGCGATTTGATCGTCGCGATTCAGTCGCGACGAGACAACTGTTAGAACATCATTCCATGCTGAAATGCAACTTGCATTTCGGTTGTGATACTTTTCCAGCCCGAAATTTTTGAATGTGAAATGAAAATGAATGGAAATGTTGGCGATTGAGTCGCGACGATCAAATCGCGTGAAGTCTGTCCGGGGCCTTAGAGTAATCAGCCTATAACCTGAATCAGACGAATGTACACTTACCAGATTCGATCTTCGCATCCAGATTCTTCTTCAGCTCCCCCACGTCTTCCCAACCATCTAAATCAACTTTGGAAGCGCCCTCCGTGTCCTCTTCATGCTCATCTAAGTTCTCCGCATCTTTCTCAAGATCGGGCAGAGTCGCCTCTTCTTCTCTCTCCTCCTGCTCACTGGTCAAATCAGCCTTGAATTATACAATCTTCGAACGGTGTTGTCCTGCTTTCTTTCAAACCTTGCTGTCATCGTTTCCCCAAAAATTGTCGTCATCCAAGTCGAGAAATCCTCTTTTGCTCATCTGGAACAAATAAATAAGCTGCGAGATTATTTGGAGTGCTACCACCCTATGCAGGGAATAATAAAAGAATGAAAGTTACCGATTTTAAGTTGCAGTTGATCTGACTGAAGACTTGTATGTACACGTACATACCCTGAATGAACGAAAAATAAGTCTCTCCCATCATTTTGAGAGACTCGCGAATGCAGATGAATGCTCGACGTTGAAATTGCTCTAACCTACAATACCACTTAATTCGTTGGAGTGGCTGCAGCGGAGTGCAGCAGAGTGCGCCGCACTCCACTAAGGTCCGCCAGAGAGCAGCGGAGTGCGCCGCACCCCACTACAGTCCGCCGGAGTCCGCGCCGCATAGCCATATCTCGTTTCAGAATGGCAGAATTTTGAATATGAGAGCACTGTTCGATTCAGCTCGGCGAGACGCATCATCCGGTATGCAGAGGTGCCACATCCTATCGGTGTATTGTAGGTATGCGGTAGGCAGTAAATTTCGCTCAATTTTGCAGATTTCTGTTTGGTTAGATTATTCATTGTGCTACATGATCATTAATTTTCTGCTGATAGCACATCGTACGGATACTGTTGGAGGATGGTAAAGACTCACTTTGAACTTTGATCGATTTGTTCCAGCCCAGGGTATTTCTTATGCGCTGATGCTCATTGTTGCTTCCAGATGCTGCTTGTTCTAACCAAAAAGATCTCATGTCGCACGGCGATCTGAAACAAATTGGTATCTCAAATGCGCCTCGACGAGCGGATTCCTAATTAACTTTCCTTATTTGCTGAACGGCACTATAGCACAAGTTACGGGCGTCTCCAAATTTCGCAAACAATCAGTTTCACACAACCAAGAATTAGCCAAGGACCCTTCATTATTCTAATAGAGTTTTTGCTTTTTGTACTCAGTACACACAACATCATGCCCATTATGGTCTTTCGAATTGGTCTTCAAAGTACAATATGCAGACGTAAAACCTCTTGACTCCATACTCCAACCGCTCATAACTTCTCTCAGAGACCTGATGAGCAGTTAGTAGATATCCAAATATGCTTTCACGATATGCATTTTGCCAAGGTCGACAGTATACTAGGGGAAATTGAATTTTTTTTTCGAATATTCGAATATCGAATATATTCGAAAATTGAAAATTTCGAATATTCGAATATCGAATAATATTCGAAAATCGGAATTCTCGAACATTCGACTATCGAATATTATTCGAAAATTGAAAATTTCGAATATTCGACTATCGAATATTATTCGAAAATGAAAATTTCGAATCGAATAATATTCGAATATCGAATATCATTCGTTATTCGAATTTCGAATATTATTCGGTTTTCGAATGTTATTCGATTTTTGAATATCATTCGATTTTCGAATACTGATTAAATTAATACGTCATTGAGACTGCCTATGAAAGGGAGACGGTTGAGAGGTGCGACTTTTCCGGCTCGCACCGACTTAAAACTGCTATTTCGTGCTATGGGAGTTTCAAAAAGTACCGAACAAAGCACATTGGCTTACCAGCTGTTTGAAGTAATCATCTGAGAAGTTATACGACTTTTGCCAGAAAACTGACCGGATTATTTAAAAAATTGCTATTAATTGCATTATCATGGGTTTTTGACCTTTAACAATTTTGTTTGGAATCGATTGCAAGACGATAAGATCGAACAATAATGCGTGTAATCTTATATATAAAGCTGAATCCTTCTATATAAAGCTGAATGTCTGTTTGTCTGTCTGTATGTCTGTCTGTCTGTCTGTCTGTATGTCTGTGTGTACGTATGTTCCGAATAGAAAATTCCATTTCTGAACCGATCCGAACCAAACTTGGCACACATACACTTCGGGCCCCGGCGGGTGTCATAGGCTACTTTTCGTCATCGATCAATATCGATTTTATCGATTTTTATCGATTTTTTTGCTGAGTTCACCTACGGGGCTGGGAGTTGGCACAGGGGGGTAATCGAGCATGGGGATTCCGAATACAATATTGGTTCTCAGGATTATCGATTACTTTTATCGATTTTATCGATTTTTTTGCAAAGTTTGAGCTACGGGGCTGGGAGTTCGCAGAGGGGGGTAATCGAGCATGGGGATTCCGAATACAATATTGGTTTTCGGGATTATCAATTACTTTTATCGATTTTATCGATTTTTTTGCAAAGTTTGAGCTAGGGGGCTGGGAGTTGGCACAGGGGGGTAATCGAGCATGCTGATCATCCCCAAGGGGGGTGATCAGCATGCTCGATTACACCCCTCTGCCAAATTCCAGCCCCTAGCTCAAATTTTCAAAAAATCGATAAAATCGATAAAAGTAATGGACGATCTTGAAAACTAATATTGTATTCGTAATCTGCATGCTCGATTACCCCCTGTGCAAACTCCCAGCCCCGCAGGTCAAACTTTACAAAAAAATCGATAAAATCGATAAAAGTAATGGACGATCCTGAAAACTAATATTGTGTTCGTAATCAGCATGCTCGATTACCCCCCTGTGCAAAATCCCAGCCTCGCATGTCAAAATTTACAAAAAATCGATAAAATCAATAAAAGTAATGGACGATCCTGAAAACTAATATTGTATTCGGAATCCCCATGCTCACTTCCCCCCCTGTGCCAACTCCTAGCCCTGTAGGTGAACTCTGCAAAAAAATCGATAAAAATCGGTAAAATCGACATCGATCGATAACGAAAAGTGGACTGTGACACCCGCCGGGGCCCGAAGTGTATGTGTGCCAAGTTTGGTCCGGATACGGCGGAGCCGGGTAAGCCAGCTAGTTATCTAATATATTTCTTTTGAGATTTCAAGTTATTTTCGAACTTTATAAAACTCTAAACATGCCTATGAAGGCCAAAACATCTAAGAATAAAATGTTTCATGTGAGTGTTGAGAACGGACACTTTTTTATGTTACAATTTACGATGGAAAAACGGTTTAATCGTGACGTGAAGAGACTTAGGAACCTAAAAGCTACCCCTGTGACGATTGTGAAGAAAATTTTACGTACTTCAAAGAAGATTATATACCCTCACTGAGTTGCGATTGGATATTCAGCGGTCCCAACAGTATCTAGATCTGTAGGCTGACATCAACTTAGAGTATAGGGCTTTTTTATCAATCGCTTTTCACTGTTGTAAAATTACCGTAAGATTGAATCGGGTTTCGAAACATCAAGAGCCATTTCCCCAAGCAAAAGAATCAAAAGGGGCGAAAGTCTTGCATTAGGCCCCGGACAGACTTCACGCGATTTGATCGTCGCGACTCAATCGCCGACATTTCCATTCATTTTCAATTCACATTCAAAAATTCCGGGCAGGAAAAGTATCACAACCGAAATGCAAGTTGATCGGCATGGAATGATGTTGTAACAGTTGTCTCGTCGCGATTCAGTCGCGACGATCAAATCGCGTGAAGTCTGCCCGGGGCCTTAGACTTCTGAAGACACTCACTTTATGTAGAATTTGCACTCAACCGTAATGCTTTTTTTCAAACTTACACCACGTACACCGTAACAAGTGTTTTGCAACGCTTTCAAAGTGATTGCCGTTTGAAAAGCTTGAAAACTCGTGCGTAGTAAAATTAGCATACGTAGAAACACTGCTGCACAGATTTTAGACCTTTTTTGGTGACTATTTTTTTGGATGTCTTATTTTGCAGTTGGTCTATATGCTGATTTCCGAGATAACAGAAAAACATGGGTGTGATTCGCTTTCTGCTGTACTTATAAGCTGAAGCCATCCCTACTGGATGTTACCCAGAAATTGGTAAAAGACTTTGAGAGATATTAGCGATCAAACGGTGAGTAAATACGTTTAAGACACCCCGTATACGCTATGCATGTCGAATTTTCGAATATTCGGTGCTTATCGAATTTTCGAATAGTCAATTCTTATCGAATTTCCGAATATTCGGTGCTCAACGAATATTCGAATATTTGATGGACATCGAATGAATGACGCTCGAACATTCGACTATCGAATATTATGCGAAAGTTAAGACTTTCGAATATTCGATTTTCGAATAATATTCGAAAATGAAGATTTTCGAATATTCGACTATCAAATATATTCGAAAACTGAAAATTTCGAATACTCGACTTTCGAATTTTATTCGAAATCTCAGATTTTCGAATATTCGACTTTTCGAATCATTCGTATTCGAATGATTTATTCGAATGATCGAATAATTATTCGATTCGGTCCCAAGTATAGTCGACAGGGTGATTCTGAGGTCATTTCCTGTTTTGTAGTAGCTAGTATTCATTATGATGTCATGCCGATACAATCGACGTTGTTACTTAGCGCTTACATGGTTTAGCTGTCAATAATAAGTATAATATTTTCGTGAGCGCGTGTTTTCACCATATCGCAGCGCACATTGCACAAAAAGCTTCAATGAGTGTTTTTTAGTAGAGCTGTGTCCACCTAACATCCTTGATATAAAATATTTAGGAGGCTTTTCTGCAAAGCCGAGGAAAAGAGTGTGAATATCGGAAATATGCAAGGTGTAGGAACCAATAATTTGTCGAAAGTCTATAGTACCAATTTAGGAAGCGAATTTTGCGTTAGTACTGAAGCCTGAATGCCATGAGTCTGGTCTTCACATCGTTCTGCAAACGGATTTATGCCAATTTCTAACTCAACGCTTTCTGTAGATGGGAGACTCCCGTAGGCATCACGTAATAGAACAGTAAGTTTCTAGTAACAGACGAAAAGCGCAGTAAGTCCTTTGCTGTGAGGGAATAAATGGCTGGCAAACTAGAAATCCATGTTTATTTAAAAACTGTCTACCGTAGCCCTACAGTAAGAAGTATCTTGCAAATCAGATGTGATTTTCATGATCAGCAAGTTGGATAACCTCTATGGATTAGACTTTCTGAGAAAATCGGGACATTTGATTCTTCCTCATTTCTCGCTCTTGAGCTCGCCGCGTGTTCTGGCTGAAATATTAGTAGTCTTGGTTCGACCTGAAACTTCGGTCATAAAGGTTTTAAAACCTTAGATATTCTGCGAGAGGGTTTTATTGTAAAGCTACAGTAAGCGGGGTCTAGCTAAGTCACGCAAGCTCGCAAGTTGGCCTACCTTTTCGCTCACCTGCTGACGAACTTGTCTGCGCATTCTTGTGCATTCGAGTCTGTGTGAACATTACAGTCGGAACATGCTTTAATATGCCCTCTCTGTGCCGTTTCTCGAATTATGAGCTAACGAATTCACCTTCTCATGAATTTCACTCCAAATCTAAAAATGACTTTTTTGGAGAAAGCTGTCGGGTTTCTCTCGTGCGAGATGAACTTGGTATCTGTAACCAGCCTACTAGCGTGACATATTTCGCCAAAATACGCGATTCGTAGATTTAGAGAAAAATTCATGAGAACGTGAACTAAGTTCATAATCTGGGAAATAGTGTAGATGAGGGCATAAATAAAGCGTGTTCCGACTGTACCGCTGACAGGGACTCGAATCTACAAGAATGCGCAGGCAAGTTCGTTAGCAGGTGAGCAAAAAGGGCAGGCCAACTTGCGAGCTTGCATGGCTTAAGATTCCGCTTATTGTAACTTTACAGTAAAACCCTCTCGCTGAATATTTAAGGTTTCCGTAAACAGTGTATCCTAAAACCTTTGTGAGCGAAGTTTCAAGTCGAACCAAGATTATTAATATATCAGCCAAAACACGCGGCGAGCTCAAGAGCGAGGGATGAGGAAAAGTCAAGTGTTCCGATTTCCTCAGAAAATCTACCCACCTACTACTGTAGGGCTACGGGGGACAGTTTTCAGATAAACATGGATTTCTCCAGAGTTTGCTAGCCATTTACTCCCTCACAGCAACAGTTCTGCGCTCTCCGTTGCTACTAGAAACTACCTACGAGACTCGCCCATCTACAGTCTTTCTCAACCCGGAGTAGGCGAAACACTCCCAGTGGAGCAGCGCGTCCGCACACCGCTGGCTCAGCGAGATAGATCGCAATGAAGAGACGCAGACTACAAAGCAGCGAAACGGACTCCCGCCAGTCCACGGCTCCATGTCAGGAGTCACGCCGCGCGCCGCGCCGCTTCGCCGCGAACGTCGCGTCTAAATTTTGTACCCCACAAAACTGCCCAGTACTAAAGTGGCACGGCGCCAGTCTAGGGTGGTGGGGGGTGGGGGCAGATACATGGCTCGTGTCATAAGTAAGACTGCGCCAGGAGTGCTGGCTTCTGTTTTGCTGACATCGCTTGCGGCACCGCTTCGCGAAAAATTCGCGCCGACCGTGACTCCTGACCGTTCCCCCAGTCCACCGCCTAAATTGAGTCGAAACTTACTAGAAAGCGTTGAGTTGCGAATTTGCATAAACCAGTTCGCAGAACGTATGTGAAGACCTCAGATCAACGCGAAACTTAGTTTATGGGCAATATGGCATGCAGATTACAGTACTAACGCAAAATTCGCTTTCTAATGTGCTACTATAGACTTTCGGCCAAAATTCACCACTCTTTCGCTCGGCTTTGAAGAAAAGCTTCCAACTGATTTTCTATCGAGGATGTTATGTGGACACAGCTTTACTGAAACCAACACTTATTGAAACTTTGTTATGTGCAATGTGCGCTGCGATATACTATGATGAAAACACGTGCTCACTATTATACTTACTATACACATCACGTAAGCACCAAGCAACAACGTCAGTGATAGACTAAGAGTGTTCTTCTTAATGCAGTAGCTTTCTTACACTTTGACTTCTTTGCCCCAAATGAATTTGCGTGCCAGAAGTTGCTTGACCAGAGAGAGCTTCATCGATGTGTTCGTATGATTAAGTATAGCCAAAAACAGGCTAGAACACAGAGCTTCTCTTAGATCAAGAACGGATCCTTTCACGTGGCACACCAACAGGTTTTTCCATTTTTTATAAACTTTGAAATACTAAAAACATGGGGTTTTCTACAATCGTGAAACACAAGACAGGAAAAGAAGATTTCTTCGTTTTACCACAAGCATCAAGGAATGGGAATGTATTTACATCAATCGATAGTGAGCATACAGTCATATTTTACATCAATCTATTTCATCAATTGATGGCCATACAATTCCATATTTGAGAATATCAATGTGGATTGGAAGTGACGAAAAGAAAGAAATACCCTATTTTCCGGCGCATAAGCTGCATCTATTTTCATCGCGAGCGAGCTGAAATGCGATGCCTTTCGCGATGCGCGAAGCCGCACAAGCAGCCAACTACTGTCTTCTCATCTAGTAGCCCTTTACTAACTTTCCGCTTTCGTTTTTTCTTGGTTTCTTCTCGATTGCAACTCACGAGAATCTTTACCTTTTCATTCATCATTACGGTTTCAACTCTTGTTCATTTCTCTCGCTGCCCCTTAAGTCATCCTTTCAACTCTTCTCCTAATGCTGACCATCTGCTAGGGGTCTTCTGAACGCTTTCCTGGTACTGTCGCATTTTCTCCTGTTCACTTTGCCACAGACGACGAAATGAAAGGAAACCTGGCTGGTTCCATTCTCGGCAGCACAATCTGTGCTTTCAATTTGAAACTGTGTGGGACCTCACCTGCGATACCAAACATCAGGATACGCATCGAAAGGAATGAAAAAAAAAACTAAAGTTATGATTATTTGCACTGAAGAAGACTCACGAAAAGCACTGAGTTTTCACTTTGGTAGAAATCTTTTTGGAGGCGCTTTCGCGCTACTGTTCGCTGCGGCGGGTGCGGCTTATATAAGGCGCGGCTTATAAGCCGGAAAATAGGGTAAATAAACCATTAACTGAAATCTGATAGATTAGGAGGTACTAGACTCAAATGCCACATAAGCGAATCACATTATGCTTTGATACCGTGCTTTATGTGCTCATATTCTTGCAGCAAAGTCTCTGCTTCGAACAGTGTCGAATTCAATTGTTCTTTCTCTTGCTTCTCAAGCTCTAAAACCTCTTCGAATGGTGCTTTAGAAGGAGGTACCTGAACAATTACACTGATAAATACAAACATAAACCACGTATCTCAACGTACTTCTTCTTTCCCCAGGAACAGCTCCATATCTGTAGAATCGTACTCAGGCAGCGGTACAGTTTTTGTAGAAAATTCTGCTTGTTGCTGCTTTAATAGCTCATTCAGTCTGTCGTTTACTTCCTTCATTTTGTCAAGCATATCCTTTATCACTTCGCTATCAGGCATCCTAGACTTGACACTTCTGAGCACATAATTCTGGTTTTCTGACTAACCTTTGCAGAGAGATGAGAGCTTTTTGCAGTCTCCTTGAGAGGTTCGTGATTCGCTTTTTGTACTCGCCGCTCGATGAGGGATTTCCACAACCGCCATTGTGAGAGCTATGATCTTCACATTGCGGAGCCTCTTTATTTTCTCGGTATTCATGGGTAAAGACTTCAAACTAAATTTTTTATGATTGAAGCAAACTTTCGTTTTCATGCAAAAATGCCATAAGCAAAAGTGATGGAAGGTTTAGTTGTTCGGTTTCCCCAAGCGAGTGCCTTTGAGAAAAATGAGATAATTTCATCAATATCACTGCCACGGAATTCCAGCTTCCTCACACTTTAATCATGTTCTACTGGAAAAAAGCTACGCAAAATTTCCATATAGTTGATGAATAATCCGGGTAGACACCGAACAATCGATGAGATTCAGATTTAAGATTCGAGCGTAGAATTTTCAACAAATCAAAGATCATACTCTGATTTTTAAATTTTCTAGACGAACTTTCCTGAGCTTATACAAGTAATCAAATCATTACTGCAGCATTAGCAAAGCTCAACACTAATTGCCAAAAATAAAAATTTGTGGAAAGACCCAGACTAATTCATGCTGATGAATAAATAAGATCGCGCTAACCTGCGCTACACCGAAACTCTGTTGATCCAAGCTGCGATCGATGTCAGCTTCAGTCTTATCTTCAAGGATCTCAGCCATTCTAAACTCTACTCTTGAAACATATCCGTGTAAGTACTTTTGTAATGTAGAAAGGACAAAACATCTATTTTGCATGACACGATGTCGAAAATATCTTTATTTGATAAATGAGGAACATTGCACAATATCACACAAATATGAATGTGTAGGCTGAAAGACTAATTTTGAGATACTGAAAGACTAATCTTGAGATAGATGTATAAAGTGACATAGAATAATAAAAACCATTCTGAAAACATTATTTTCTATCTTGAACTTATTCCGTCGTTTTTGGTAGTGCTTGTGCTATCAGGCACCGATCATCCATCTACAGCTACTGTATGTGCGTATGTGTCGCAAAAATCCTGGGACAACATTCCAATCAGAACCACATATCAAAGGCAGAGCTTTCCTAAACATAAAGTTTTAGCATAGATTGTTATGAGCTGCCTCATTCTAAGCTTCTTTTTTTTGCAGAGCTATCGAGATGGTTTTCAGAAGCTCATTTTGTATTATATGAGAATGCGAATGACAAAAGAAAGCAATGAGGGAGACCGGCCATACTATTCCAAAAGGTGATTCCTGCGACTCCTGTAATCCTTGCAATTCCTGTGACTCCTCGACTTCCGATGTGCCCTACTACCGCGCGCCTTGCGAATTTCAGTATACACTGTTTTTTCGCAATATACATTGTTACGGGACTCGCAGGAATCACAAGCACCGCAGGAATTGCAGGAATCAGAGGAATAGTATGGACGGTCCCAAACTTATCATACCTACTACTGAACCGCAACGTAACCATGTTCTCTGATCCTTCGAAGAAGAGCACTGTACTGGATAGCAGTACGCAATTCCTTCTCCACAAACTCTGATACAAAATTTGCCTTTGTGAGGTAGACAAAATCCATAAATCGCATGAATTCAATGACAAAATCGAAGCAATTCCACATCATATCGTCATATGACTAAAAAATACTACAACATGGTCGCCCGGTAAAGAAAGAAGGGTAATTACCTGGCCACGAAACCTCCTAGAGTAAGCATATATAAAATACATGAGTATTTGTTCAAACCTTGAATGAGAAATGTTGAGATCATGCTTGATATTTGATGAACTGTGACCTTTTATCGTGGTTGAACTGACAGAGAACTATCGACCCATCCCATCCTGTGTTTTCTGACGAGATTCCATTCAGCCAGAATGAATGCACAGTCGAATGCGAATCGGATATACCAATGTGCAGGTCATCTCCCATCTTGTACCTGCAGTACATTGGGAATTTTTATTATGATCTAGCACTTAAACTCATCTTACTCAAGAAATGTTCTATAAGTGGGTTTTATCACTATGGCGCAAGTGATAGAGTTTTGCTTTCGAAATGGGCACGGCAAAGCTTCACATTTGATAGACGAATCCTTTAGATAGAAAATTATAGCAAAATTTTTACCTGCTCAACGCTCAACCACCAGGCTTACAGCAGACTAACTAATCCAAATAATCAAGTTTACAGTTTACCACAACAAAATTCGAACAACGATTTCGAGATATATAACCCACGGATAAACGATATCTAACGTCGAAGCACACTCCACAAACAGGGCATTTGCGCAAGGTGTAGCCTAATCTAACAGTGAATTTTGCATTGCATCTATCGTGCGTCAATCGTCCCAATTCCATCTGGTACCTGAATGGTGAAGTATGGAAAGCATCGAGCAAGCAGCTAAAGAACTTATAATTGCAATTCAAATCGCTAATTATGATCGTCTTTTCGCACGATCAAACGCAAAGCTTTATAAATTATATGGTGAAATAAAGTAAAAAAATCACGCAAGTTGCATGATATGAATAAAAAAGCGCCTGCCGCAGCGTTGCCAAACCCGTCAATCCTCAACGAAAAAAAACGCAATAACCAAACAGTAAACCACTCTAATTATTTAATTTCATGGCAGCAAGCTCACGATAGCTCTCCTTCCTATCTTAAGCCTCAAAACCAACAGTGTCAACAGAATTGCTGTGTGGAGCAGAGAATCAATAATGGAGGAACAAACCTCGCACAAATGAACCAAACAAAGAAAACCAGATTTTATTTTGCACATCATACGCACAGATGGCAGCTGCAACAACAAGATCCATCGCAAGCACACTAAATCTCAACAACAGTCGGTACATACAGGACATAGTAAGTTGAGGAATTAAAAGACACAATAATGGGTACATACTAAGGCTAAGTGAACAAAAACCAAATTTCATCTTGAACAGATAAGACAATACCTATTATCATTTATCTTATATCTGGATTGCTATAAGCCTTCGTCACTCATCTCAGAAAATTCATTCTCAGAGAATTCAGCATAATCTTCATTATCGTGTTCATCAAACGATGGAGAAGGCGAGTCATGATCGGCAGCATTATTCAAAGAGTTCAGCAAACCATGACGAACAGCTACATTGCTGCAATATTCGGTGAATAATTGCAGCAAAAAAAACGCCAACAATCATTACGCTTACCGTACATCTTTCGTAGTCAAAAAACAAATCCGAGGCTGTTCATCTTCTGGAGCATCGACAACCCAATATTTTATTCGCAGCTGTTTGACGATCTGTAATCGTAAACTGAAGAAAGGCTCGAACCAATTGTTCACCTACTTTTCTAGCCGATAATTTCGTCAAAATCATTTGTTTGACAATCATTTCTTCATCAGTGGTGAGTGGAAAAACCTCAGTCGCGCTTTCATGACCAAGATGTCCAAAACACGCAACGACATCCACAGTTTGGTCAAGCTTCACAGTGACCTGAGCATATGAAGCAAATATAACATTCAAATCAAAAGATTACGTAGAACTGAAACTCACCTTTGCAAAGCATGGGCAATGATTAGGACTGAGTTTGCATTTTCGCTTTCGTTTTCTTTCATTCTCAGCTAAGGGCTTCTTACCATGGTTACGGGCAGAGTACTGGCAAGCGTACATATGTGTTGTACCTTTCCCGCTTTTTCTTGTGGTTCTTCTAACTAATTTGCTCATGGTTTCGCGTTCTTTTCTCTCTTTCCAAATCTGAAGGAAACAGTCGATGGCGTACAGTGGGTAAAAAGATACAAAAGATGGATGTTTAGCTTAAGTGGGTATATGTCAAGAGGTAAAATTCTATGCCACGTGGATATTGAATGGCAGATACTCATGGTTTTATAATGTGTGAGAAGCACTACAAACTTTTTGGGATACAAGATCGGCGCATGGGTTGTTAACCAATGGGTTCAGAACATAAGTGTTGGAGGTCAAAAACTCATGAAAACGCACACCAAGTTCTTGAATATTTCAAGCGATTTTTCAGCACAGATTGTCAAGTTTTGCAGTTGGTAAAATCTCATAGTTAATCTATTTCGTCTGGTTTTTCAAAAGACTTGCACAGCCCTACCGACTTCTTTAGTTGACGACAGGCGGAGATATCGCCGCCTCTTAACCGTCTTCTTTATGTGATGAACAAAACAAACAACTTGCACTTGCAAGGAAAGAACTCAATCCGAATGGCCTTTTAAGATGAGATGGATAGTCTCAAAGGATACGAAAGCTGATTTCAAATCTACATTCCTTATCTGCTGCAGGTTCCTGGGCGAGGAGTTACGAAGGTTTTCATGAGCAGAAATTCGCATATGTAGCTAAGATAAAATCAGTCGTAACATTTCTTCAACCGCTCGAATGATTTTCGGGTACTATGTGCAACAAATGTTTTAATTAGAACATATCCACTTAACTTTGCCACTTCAGAACGCTAAGGAAAGTCAACGACTGATTTCACATTAATCATGTACTGGATTTTTGATCATAAAAAAATCCGAAACTCCTTGCTCAGAATCTCGCAGCAGATAAGAAATGATATTTGGAATCAGCATTTTGTGGCCTTCAAGACAGTGCACATCTCATACAGAAAGGCCACTTCGACTGACCTTCCTTCCCTTGCTAGAACGAGAAAATTCGAAAACCAAAAAAAAGAAAAGATAATAAAAAAAGAGCAAGAGGAATGTGTCGAAAGTACCAAAATCATTTATGTGATTTGGCAAAAAAAATTCGAATCGTGCAAATGATCGCAATAAGCATAACATGCAAATAAAACCAAACTTCAAACCTCGAAGCTTTTCCAGTTATCGAACTGTACGTCTATTACAGTAAAGTCCAGATGACTGTCACTGTGTTTATCCTCGCAATGAAGCGCCAGTCCCAAACTGCTCGAAAACGTTTCCCTGCATAGTGGACACGACACCGCGGCAATTCTTGCTTGACTTTTTTCAGCCGTACCAGTTTCACTCTCTTCCTGCTCGCCATGGACCTTCTGGAAAGTTCAGAGGTGGCATGATGCAATGTATGATTCCAGCAAAACAAATTTACTCACTCTTCGGTGTTTGCGAAGGCCTCCATCAGAAAAATAGGTCTTTCCACAGACTTGACATTTATATCGGTCGTTCACGCGAAATTTGGCCCGTTTGATCGCTGCTCTAACTTCCTGAACTTCATCCTCGGGGCAATTATGGACGAAGCGAAGATGAGAATAAAGATTATTAAGCAGATATGGGCCACGTCCGCAAACGTGGCACTGCGCTTGAGAACTATTCATTCAGCAACGAAGCTGAAAACAAGATGTTTGTTGGCTGAAAATGAGTTTTTGAATGAATCAAACAACATTTTTCGTATAGCTCACCCTACTTTTTAACTTTTCGCGATATTCATCGACATCAATGAAGATTAACAATTACAAAGAGATAAGCCAACTTCAACAACAATAGAGAAACCAGAGAAACCACACAGCTGCGTCCGTTCCTGATGCGCTGCGCAGCTGAAAAATGGACCATAGCGAACTTCGGCGCGCAATTTTTCTATTTAAAAAGTGCTTGCAACAACACGTCGTACGACACTTTTCAGCGGATTTCCTCATTTCAGAATTTTGCTGGTTCAATGAAAAGAATGTTTGACGTTAGTCTGCATATTGTCATCGAGTCTCCTAACATAACGACAGTAGTCATGTTCAGTGCCTAAATCATTCTGCCTGTATGATCACTCTGTTTACAGTGAGAATGTCCAACGAAGAAACTGTGGAAGTTGATGCCATTGACCTTGAGGACATGCTCAAATGTAACCTCCCAACATCTCGAGTTAAGAAAATATGTCGTTTGGACCCCGATCTGGGTATGATAGCAAGCGATGCTCTCCTGTTTGTGACAAAAGCTACGGTGAGCATTTGCTTTCCGTTGTTACGATACATTATTTGCAGCTCCAGCATGATTTTTGTTGATTGAGATTGTGCACTTACAATATATACTGACACTTTTGTCTGGGTCCCAAAATTCGCTGGCGGCACAGATATCGCTCAAATTTGGCCTATAGCGGTTGATTCAAATGCTGATTGCTAATCGGTATTGATTTTGCTGATTGCATTACGAATATCCTCCGTAAATTTCAACGAACTCTCAACGCATACCTACCGTAATCTTAATAAAAAGAACTATCACGCGAAATGCGGATTTGCGTGGTGAGCATGTCGAGCATGGTAACTCCAAGGCAGAGTAGTAAAATCCGTGATTCTGAGAAGTAGAGGCTCAAACATGTAGTTCACAGTGACTATTGCCTTTATGGCGACTACCAAGCCATGACAAATTCGAAAAGCTATTCAAATTTGCGTCTGTCTTCCTGCGAAAAGTTTCATCCACGCGAAATCACCGATCGTGAAAAAGCTTTCTAAATGAATAGTTGCTTACATTTTAGTTGGCATAGCGCGGTGAGTTCCAGTGCTACGATTTTACGAGAATGAATAAGGCACATATACTAGAGCCAGTGTGAGCCTCTGCGAAGCAGAGGTGACGCACTGGTGCTCTTGAGTGAATGAAATTGTGAGTAATGCTGAATGATGTTTTGTAAAATCTTCAAATAAATTCAATGTTTTCCACTGTAAAAAATCTCCCCCGAGACGTAAATCCTAATCAGTGTAGTTGCGAGTATTTGCGTGCACAAATACAACTATCATTTTTAGGAGCTCTTCGTTACGGAGCTTGCCAAAGCTTCATATACTCAGGCAGTACTCGAAAAGAGAAAAACAATTCAAACGAAGGACATAGGTAAGAATCATGATCATCTCCTCATCTCTGCTCTCCTGCCGCTGTGTCAGACTATTATCTCATTAATTCATTTTCAGACAAAGCGATTGCTACAAAACAAATGTTTGAATTTCTCGATGATGCCCTCACTGACTGGCCAGAAACAGAATCTTCTCGAACAAAATCGCAGAGCGCTGTTGTTCAAGAAAGCATTGCAGAGGAGGATGACGGCATCGAAGAGGATGTTGGCGAAAACGAGGAAGAAGAGTCTGCGGTGGTCGAAGAAACAGAAGATGCTGAACTCGTGAGTTTGTTAATATCGAATACGTTTTCTGTTTCTGCTCCGAGTGAAATAGAGTGATGAATGGAACATTCTTGTGGTGTTTAGGCCCTGTCCGAATCAATGGTCGATAGCGTTGCTGATACACCCCAGATGGAGACAGGAACATAAGGTAGATAGATTGCCTATACTCATTCTAGTACAACTTTGTTTTACATTTTATTGTTTCTAACTTTTTTATTCATTTCAAGGCACTTTGGATTGAATTATGCATATAGCCCTGAACTTCATTTTCATTTTCGTTTATACTGATTCAACAAGGGTATTTTTATTAGTTTATATCCACTCCTTCTTTTTTGGATGTAATCACTGACCGTGACTGTGCAGTTTACTACAGTTCATTACATGTTTGGCTTTGATCAACAACCTGCTCAATTCATTCTTCATTCGCCTTAGTTCTAGCAAGTAGGTATCTCATAGATTTGTACGATGTAAAAATAATTTGTCAATCAGCAGTTTTTGGCTCTGCTGGTTTATATACATCCTTTTCTTTCAAGAGTTCATTATCTGCCGCATCGTCTGCGAATGGTATACAAGGCTTTTGTTTGGTCTTGAGCATGCTCACAGCATCCTAGAATTGAAATTGTTAGGTGAAGAATTGAATAGTCAGAAACTTACCCATATAGTATCTGGCAACGGTTGGTCCTGAGTTTCGGGGAGGAATATCACAAGTATACCTGCACAAAGTGAAAATACTGAGAATATGAGCATAGGCACTATAGGTAATGTAACATCAGAGAGTATAGCAATGTAACCAGACGCTCCAGCACCCATTCGAGCAATCTTAAAACAACAAGATCATCTTAAAACTTCTCGAATAATTGCAAAAATCCATACCATTGATGAAATTCCTACAGCACTGTTTCGCACAATAGTAGGATTCAATTCTGATGTGAAAATGTATAGAATATTGAATGCTCCTTGGATGCAGGCTTTTCCAAGCAACATAAAAATTAATGCCATCTGAAGGTAGATGGATAGCTTTACCGGGAAATGTAAAGAAAAGAATTTACCGTTGTTCTTTTGTTGTACATCGCTAGCATAGCAATCATGAGAAGTGAACCAGCACCCATCAAAGTGATCATTTGCGATCTGAAAACACAAAACAAATCGAAAATTATATCCATATATGCACATTATTGGTTAGCGTTGTTTTTTAACAGCTTTTCTCTGTAAATTTTCATCCTCCCCTTCCCCCCCCCCCCCCCCCATTGCCGCTAATGAATAGCAAAGCGCTTTTTGAAAACCTATTTTTTTGCATTTGACTTCCGGATCTTCTGTAATCCCTTCCTTTGTGAAGTGCCAAAATTTTGTCGGATGCCGTCTTCACTTCTGATTTGATACTTACTTACCTTTTACGACCATATTTGAGCAAAAATACGCAAACTGCCAGCGTTGGCAATTCTATCGCACCTGCTATTGCATTGTTGAGGAAGAAGTTACCATCAAATACCGATCTGTAATATTGATTCAGTTGCTTATCAAATTTCAACATGATAAATCCAAGGTATTCAAGGCGTGTTTATCGATATTAACGATGTTCTTTACCTTCCTGGTGATGATTGATCAGATAATGCAATAACGAGCCCGTAGTATACAAGTGCAGTAGCAATCTGCAAAAACTTATTTCTTTTATGTACCAGAGCAGAATCTTGAGAAACTACCCAAATAATAAACAGCATTATGTTCCGAACTCGTAGTTCTGGTGCTCGGAATAGGTGGAAATAATGAGGTCGTTCATCTTTCTTCATCCATTTTCTTTTCTCTGCATGCCGCACCTCAAATGAGAGATACATCATTACGAAAATGGTAATTTCTTATCTATGCTTACAAGTCCCAAATCGCTCGGCAGACGACTTTTGTTATTCTTGCAGGCTTTACGTATGATCTTCTCAGCATCCTCGACCCGATTCATCATAATCAACCAACGCGGAGATTCCGGCAAGAAATGTATAAATATCAGTGCAATGCAGTGCAGCGCAACTGTTATCATCTGTAAAATAAACAAATTAGTAAGTGTCAAGTTACACAGACATCCTTTTCAAATTGTCAGTTTTTTTTAATGTAAGAATTCATAGTTGACAAGTAAATGATGTGTATAAGTTATCTTAATGCAAAATAGGCGAAGCCAAATTGCCAAATTTAAAAAAAATGCCATATGTCAATGAACATTCCAAATTTCAATGAACATATGAGCTTTGAAAGGGCATTTGTACTATATATTAGGTTGGTCCGAAAGTTCTGTCCCAGTACTTTTAAAAAATCATAACTTCTTTCTAACACCATGTTTTTGCACGAATAAAAACTTATTGGAAAGAGCAATTTATGCACTTTCTAAAACTGCCTTGGCTGCTATCTACTAAGCTCGCGACGCAGAGATAAAATTGGGAAAAGGAAATCAGTTCAAGTTCGGAATTTAGCAAGCCCATTAAAAAACCCAAAACCGTGCCATAAAATCCAAAACAACCAGTATCTCAGGGTTTTCTAATCCTCTCTTTCTATATGAGCAAAACTCGCGCTAATTGAGCTGTTTCTTTGAAGATATGATTTTTTGGAAAAAACCTCAAAAAGTCAATTTTCTTAAGGAACCAATTTTTTGGCATTTCTTCTCGAAAATCATACTTTTCTAAGAAGAGCTCGATTAGCGCAAATTTTACTCACATAAAAAGAGGGGATCAGAAAACTTAGGATACTGGTTGTTTTGGATTTTATGGCACGGTTTTGGATTTTTTAATGGGCTTGCTTCAAAATTCCGAACTTGAATTGATTTCCTTTTCCCAATTTTATCTCTGCGTCGCGAGCTTAATAATAGCAGCCAAGGCAGTTTTAGAAAGTGCTTTTTCCAATAAGTTTTTATTCGTGCAAAAACATTGTGTTAGAAAAAAGTTAATTTTTTTAAAAGTACTGGGACAGAACTTTCGGACCAACCTAATACAATAGAAAAAATCTGAAACTTATATATGCAGCCTGGATGGAATCTTTTTTACTTACGTGAATGGTTGTCCATGACTTGGTGAGATAGGCAACCAAGGCCAGAAAAGCGTAACCACATGCCCACGGTGCTTGTAGGAGGCTTCCAACGATGGAACGGTACTTAACTCCTAAAATAAAGTTGCGCGAAATGTTGTTGCCTTTATTCATCTCTGCTTTCCTACCTGTGATCTCCATACACAATACATAGGCAGCTAAATCAGCAGCTTCGTTGCTGGCCGCAAGCAGAAACCTTACTACGAGAAATATCTCGAATTCGCGAGAATATCCTAGCAGAAACCCGAAGATCAGCGAAAGAATTCCAAATCCATAAATTGCGGTTTTTCTGCCATAGCTGAAAGTGATAATCTTCGAAATTTCAGGAATAATTCTTTCCAGACATTAGCCGATTGGTCAGTGATCAGATTGCACAACCTAAGTGTTTACTCGATGTTTTGGTTATACCTGCCTTAAGCAGACGCCGTACTTAATTTGCGAACCGATGCTGAACCGGAGCGGAAGTGGCGCACTGAATAGCCATTTGTCGCCGGGGTGCCAATTCCGCCCCGATTCTGAACCGGCTCACAAGTTAAGTATGGTGCTTGCCTTATTTCCACGAGTGTTGTGCGTTTACAGCACTTCCTTTGTCCGACTATACCGTAACTAACCGATCGCTAACAAATCCTCCTAACAGACCGCCAACAAGGTAACCGAGCGAGTAGCTCATATGAACGTGAGCTCGACTCCAGTTGTTGTCACATACTCTATTCCATTCCGTCACTACCGTTTTCTCCATTACCTAAGGTTAAATTTTATTACACGATATGTATCTTGGTGCTATATTTTATTACAGTTTGTAAAAGTAATTTTTTGAATTTGCTGAATAAAACTCACTGATTGATCGTATTCCCACTGTTCGCACCTAACCACTTTAGCGTCATCGGTAGAATAATTTACTGCCTATAATGGATGGATATTTTTCTGAATGGCCGATTCAACATAAATTTACCTGCGAAAAAGGAAGATTTTTCAGATGCACATAATTTCGTTCGTAATAATGACATTGATCATGCCAATCCATATCGCCGCGTTGTTTATTTTTCACCTAAATTATTGCTTTGGTGTAGGTTCAACCGTGAAAACAGGCTTGTCTTACTGTAGGGAATGCTATGTGAGAATTGAGCACATCTTCCCATGTGTATGAGGTAGAATTTTTCTCCGCAAAAACTTCAGCATTGAAGAATGGAATCTGAAAAAGAGATCAGGGTGATAGAATGGGCGACAAAAAGGAACGCTGAGAGTTAAACGAAAGAATGGATCAGTGAAATTCGCGGGCGTCAATCGCACAGACTGCCGTGAATTCCGTGACACGCGCGGCGCAGCTGAAATGCTGACCGCGGCGCGTGTTCCGCAATCTACGGCACTCCATGCGGTCAAAGAATGGACGGTAGTTTCGTGTTACTCATAAAAACCCTACCTTGCACCAGTGATCTGGTTGATACATCATATATACAACACTGAGGTTGAACATTGCATGAGGTACTTGTTGCACAGAAATCATCAAATAGATCATCACTTGCCAATTCGAACATCCACCGATGATGTTCAGAATTCCTAGGAAACAGATACCCTTGTCCAGGATGTCGCTGAAAATTTTAAGGCAGGAAAGACACCTTCAAAGTCAATATCCGTCAATCGCCGCTGTCGCCGTTGTTCAGCATACTGTCTCTGTTTCTGATAATGTTGATGCCGTATTTCTATTTCGCTTTTTAGTCGCTGCGTTCTAAAATGGTAGAAGTCAATGAAATACATTTGAAACCATTTACTTCTTGATTTCGAAGGAGTTCTGTAGGTGGTGCACAAAAGAATATTGTCAAGTTCATAAAAACACATTATTGGGTGTGTTGAGGTAGTAGAACTCAAGCAGTTGTTCAAAGCGACTGTCTTGTAGATACTTGTTGAAGATAAGAAAATTTTTCTAGAAAAAGGATCAAATACCATGTTAGAACGTCTGAATATGTGTAGGTAACTAGCAGGATCAATCATATCACAGAATGGAATTCACTAGCAATTATGGGGAAACGGCCATTTTGCACCGCTACAGAATGCTACCGTAGCAGGCACGCGCGCACGCGTGAAACAGGAAATGTGGGATACAGGCCATCATAACCGTGATTCTGTGAGGTCTTCTATACAGGACGCCAACCACTTTTGTCACAGCAAATAAAGAGGGAGGGAAAATTTGCGGAGCTTGCGCCATGTTGAGGCACGTCACGCACGGTTGCTATTGGCTACTGTCATGCAAAATGGCCGTCTTTGGCCAAGAATGCTTGTAGGGGTGCAAAATCGCTACGACTACGGTAACATGACCTGCGACAAGCCTACATTATTGACAATTGACTTTGAAAAATAGCGGTACTTACTTTGGCACGTTTAGAGTGTCGTGTTCATTTTCATGCACTGACGAACTATACGGTATTGTGTGGTCACCATGATCCAGTTCAGGAGCCTAAATATGTAGATCTTAGAGGTCACGTACTTATAATCCGTTTGAAATTACTAACGGGTGGCGTTGTCTCATGGTCCTGGCTCGTGCCTGGTCTCAGCTCTGGATCCGAGTAAATCAATTGATTTTGTGCAAGCAGTTCGTTTTCAGCAGCCGCAGCAAAGACGAGGTCGGTGTCGCTCTCAAATAAATTATTCAAAAAAAAATACAGAAGAAGTTGGTTGACGATAGTATGAGTTTAATGCTGAGAATTTTAGCAACTTACCCGGACGAAAGGCACTGGAGGAGAGGGTTTGGGTTCATCGTCCATCGTTACGACAATCGGTGCATGCTAATATTCTAGAACTTAATATTAGTTCATGAGGAATTATAGAGATGATACAATTAGTGACGGTGTTTTGGACAAATCAACAGCAAAAATTCATGATCGTTCAATTTTAGTAAGGAGTTTAGCGGTTAGTCAGAATAAGTGAAATAATTAATGTGGTGAACGAGGAAAGCAATAAAATATGTGATTTACTCGTTCTACAAAAAATTAAGGTTGCGAGACGGTGAAGTGGAATGTTACAGCCTTATATGCAAGATAGTTATGCAACTATAAAAAAATTACTGGTTCAGTTTTACATACTACATTACCAAAAGCAGATTTAGCCGTCAAATGCTTTAGCGTCGTAGACGAGTGTACGATTTATTACGTTGCATGAGTCACATCAAAAATTCAGAAAAAAATTCGTAAAAGAATCTTCCCAAGCATTTCAGCTTTCATAACATTTGTTCGTTTTATGTTATATGCAAAACTTTATCATGCATACAAGAATTTGATCTAAAGAAAATCGGAGTTCGAAAACGAAGTTCGAAAATTACAAGTACTCGTAAAGTTTATGATCAGTTCCCATCTATTAGGTTGATGCATAACTCCTGCACCAAAATAGGTACAGACCGCAATAATCCGGAATAATCCTACATTCTAAGTGGGATTCGATATATCAATAGATAGAGCGAACCTAGCTCTACAAGATAGTGTTTGAAGATTTGCAGCAGCTTTGATCTAAGCGAAGATTGAAGCCAAAAACGAAAAAGATCCAAGCGCCCCAAAAACCAAGAAAAACTGGAATTTCGTTCGGAGAAATCCTTTGGAATTCCTAACTTGTTCATGCATTGTCATTTCGTATAAGACATTTCTCTATGCAGTTGCTGTATTTTTCTCTCGACTATAAATTGAGAAAACGAAGTTCTTCATGTTTTTTCCAAAAGAATGCTGAGATATTCTAGCACTGACAGTTGTATACTATAGGACCTTAGAAGCGTGAATGTAAATTTTTAGCTCTTCACAGCAGTTGGTTTACGAGAAATATCGAATTTTTAGCAACTATGTAAGGAAAATTCGGATAAGGAGAGCTAGATTCGTCATTTCTCGTGAACTAGCAGTTCTAGAGGGCTGAAAATGTAAGTTTCACTGCTAACGACATGTACTATACAACTGCCAGTGCTAGAACATCTCAGTACTAATTTGGCAAAAACATGAAAAACTTCGTTTTCTCATCGTCTAGCTGAGAAAAAAAAATACAGCGATCACACAGATAAATGTCTTACGTGGAATGTGCAAGAAAGAAATTTTGTAGGAGATTCTTGAACGAAGTTACAATTTTGTTTTGATTGGTCTTAAGGTTTTCGGACAGATCGAATGATTTTTTCGGACGCGTGGTTTTTTTCAGTTTTCGGCTCAAAACTTCATGTGAATCAAATCTGGTCTAGATATTTGAGCACTGTCTTGTAGGGCTAGGTTTGCGCTATCTAATAATATGTCGAATTCTATTTGGTATATAGGATTATTCCGGATTATTGCGGTCTGTAACTATTTTGGTGCAGGAATTATGCATCAACCTAATATCTTACAAAGGAATGGTCAGAAGTCGAAGTGGCTAAACCAAACAAGCTGCATACCATTCGATGCAGCATGAAATGCTGATTTCAAATCTGTCTTACATAACTGCAGAGCGCCTTTGTAGGCGAAGTTATGAGCAGCTTTAGTGCGAAAAAACCGTATACAAAAATTGCAAAATTAGGCACATTATTGCTCTTTCAGCTCCACTCTAGGTACGGGTCATATGATGTGACCTAGTTGCATGTTTTGGTCCAACACTGAGTCAAGAATGGCTTTGTACGGCCGAGTTCGCGCTTTACAAGCACAATTTCTTAGCAAAATAATGACATTCAACGGTTTATAATTTCGTCCACAAAAGCGCTCTGCAGATAAGGAAGACAGATTTAGAGTCAGCATTTTATGCTGCATCTAATGGTATGATATGCAACTTGTATGGATTGGCCACTTCGACTTCTGACCATTCCCTTATTAGTAAAAAAAAAGTGGATCATAAAACACAATTCAAATGTAAAATTAGAAAAAAAATTAAGTTGTCAACTTTTCAGCAGTTAAAAAAACAGTTCGATCTTCCACTACGCTCTGTGCTTACAAAAATTTCCTTTTGAGCACTGTTGAAGCATTGGATTCCTTGATTCAAAAAATTTTGTGCCAAACTGACACTTTTAAAGAAATATGAATTCCAGATAAATGAACCAAATTGGAAAGCAAGATTTACAAGGTGATATATGGAAGTAGAAATTGTGAGATGAACAACTAATTAGTTAACTAAGTGAAAACTACGGTGATCATTGAAAAGCATAAGCAGTGATAATGCGTACATGGTGATTAGTCCACGGGTGCTAATTAATCTACGGTTATACTCGAACAGTTCTTGTGGAACAGAGTGGCATCTCCCATCAAAACAAAGAGAGGACGGGGAGATGGGGGAGTTTCCAAAGAATTATTAATTCGCCAATTAATGCCCAGTTGAGTGGAAGCGGCCCAGGTTCACCCATAGCAACAGCTGACTGGTGTCAGATCGCATTCACATAATAGAGAACGAAACATGAGTGCATATGTACCTACGTACACTTTAATCAATCCTCGAAATAGGGCAAAAAGCTTTTTGCAACAGAATACTACTCCAGGATGTTATAACGTTTCCCAGGGAAGAAGTAGACAGTCCCAAGTGAAACGGGAGAAAGCTTGAAGAGAGGAAAAATGCGCTGTAATTCTGGGCACGTTTGAATTAATGTGGTGGTGTGATATTTTATGGTCAACTTCATTCGTCCTTTTTTTGGGGGAGAATGTCAATGCTAAAAAGCCCCTCATATAGCAAAGTAGGAGAGAAAGTGCAGTGACAAGAGAGAGGCGATTTCATTAAAAAAAGAACAAATTATATTTCTATTTATGGTATGACCAATTAGTGTCAAATCTTCTTCGATCAGAATTGGCAAATATCCGCTGAATAACGGAGAAAAACCTCGTAAATCACAGATGATGGAAACGAGCTGAATTCTGACAGTCACGTGAACATGTGGTCGCAAAGAAAAAAGGAAATTTTAGTTTTTGATTACAAAAAATGCCTACAGATCTTTATTATAGCAAAGACGTGTAAAAACTGTATTTGATCTGCAGGGCTCAAACATATGGACGGAGCATGACAGCATGCAAACGTTATAAAAAGAACAGAATAAATTAGCACCAATCAAGAAAGCGCAAAGAGCGCAAAGCGAAGAATGAAGGCACAACATTTCACACAACTAACATGACATTTGGACTCGGAATTCTCTGTGGTAAATTCATTCTTATTCTCACTAATAATGTTATTCTATTAGGTCATTCGGAAAGTCTTTTCGCTTTTTGCGCCTTTGATGTTGGTGCCATTTTTTAAGAGAGAGCCAAAGGGCTGATAGGGATTGCTATCATAACTCTATATAAAGCGCAGGGGGTCCCATCTGACGTCAAGCTGCCGCGACGATGTCAACAATTCCGTCTGTCTCGAATGCACCCAATGCACCCAGATTGATGACTCAATTTTTGCTTGAGTCTATATTCCGAGTTGTTGACCAGAATGCCCTTTCTTACTCAATTCTAAGCGGTAACATTGATTGACCACGTTTTCGCCAAACGACAGTCCCTTTTTCAGCTTTTGAAGTTGTGCGAATTTCTATGGTAGCAGATCAGGTTCTTTACTATTTTCATGCTCATTTGTACAAAGATACTTTAGAACAGCTCAGCAAAGTTGTAGTTGCTGTAGCAGCGATTGTAAATGCGATTTTTCTCATTGATCCTCTTGGTTCATACACTCAGAAATTCGTTCATCTCAATTATTTGTGCAGCATTTCCATACTGCTAAAGAAGCGAGGGAGTTTCGTCCACAGTGGGTTAAAACTGAAGGAAGTGGGACAGGCTAGACAATGCTCCCATTAGGGGAAAACGGGGGTTTTGGAAAGTTTATGCAAGGGACAACTATTCGCTGTAATTGCCGCTAATGTTTCAGCTTTGAATACCAGACAAGATGGAATGCAAGTTGGCTTCATCATCAAGTAGACCTTGCTAACCTCAGGAATGTAAAGTTGCAGATTTTTTAGCGCAGTTTTTTTTGTCAAGATATTGCACAATTCCAAAAATTATATGAACAACAAGAATTTAATTGGGTGAGCAACTTGGAAGAGCACGCCTCGATAGTAGGTCTCTTCACAGAAAAAATTGATGGCCTACTGAGATGAGCTGGAAAATGAGTAGATTTCAAGCCGGTTTGGGCGAAATTCCATGGAGGGGGTATGACAGTAAACCTCTGTAAAACGCGAGGGGGTGGCAATACGATTTTCTGTAGTAGAAAAGGAATTGTGCATGCTTTCAAAAAAGAACACTTTGCGAAGAAGAGATAACGAGGAGGTGTGAACAGGGCTGGGAGAACTATGTCGAGTGTGTTACTGCCATTTCGGCCAGAAGAACTTTCGAATGTAGAAGTTTGTAAGCATCCAAAGATCGTCGCAAAACGTCGGAGGAGTGGGAAAATTTAGCAGGTACGGGCTTGATCGCAATCAGCTGAAGCTTGGGTTGGTAACGCGCGTTCGCAAGAAGAGAAGAGGCCGCAACACGACGTAGCAAGCCGCAGACGTGGCGCTGTACCATGGGGTTGCGGAGTGCGACATCTGAATTTTGGTATGATCCAGATTGGGTTAAGTTGACGTGTAATGGCGCATTTTGAATACAGCAGCTCGAGGCAAGGTCTGAGGGCTTTTGAGTGAGATTCGAGAAGATTGAGAATGCGAGAAAGATTAGTCGATCAAGGAGCCATATATTTATTTATTGTGAATAGAAATTGGTGGGGGAGAGTAAGCACGGAAAAGTGTGCAAAATTATGTACTCTGTAGAGCACAGGAGTAAACAGCGGTGCTAATAGAAGAAGCAGGGACTTTTACTAAGGAAATTTTGGATTTTTAGCAGGGAAGATAGATACGACAGCTT